CCCCCGCCAGGCTTGCTACTGTGAGGCCTGGATAGTTCCCCCCACCCCCAATGCTCCTTAGCATCCTTCTCAAGGATGGCAGTGCGTTACCTGTAAGGTCAGAGTGAGGGGCAGGGCTGGCTTGGGGCACTCATGGTCTGGCCTTTTTCTTCACCCCCCCACCCAGGCACAGAACAGATGCTGTCCCATGGCACAGCCGATGTGGTCCTGGAGGCCTGCACAGACTTCTGGGATGGAGCTGACATCTACCCTCTTTCGGGTTCCGACAGGTAGGTGAGGAAGCTCACGCCAGTGGCAAGAGCCGTCAGCTCAGGTGGCCTGCCTGCCCAGCTCACAGGTGAGTACTCCCAGTACCCCTCGCCTCACTTCCACCCTGCTTCCCTGGCAGAAAGAAAGTGCTGGATTTCTACCAGCGAGCCTGCCTGTCCGGTTACTGCTCCGCCTTCGCCTACAAGCCCATGAGCTGCTCCCTGTCCTCGCAGCTCAATGGCAAGTGCATTGAGCTGGTGCAGGCGCCTGGCCAGAGCAGCATCTTCACTGTGTGCGAGCTGCCCAGCACCGTCCCCATCAAGCTGAGCAGCCGCCGGAACAGCTGGAGCTCTGACGGTACTGGGCGCAGCCGTCCCAGCTGGGGCCAGGCATGGGGAGGGCTTCCCGAGGGCCATGGAATTCATCGATGCAGAGGGGACAGTGGGCACAGCATTAGACCCGGAATGCTGCAGTGGCATTCACTATCTGGTGACATGGGCGTGTCCCTTCATCCTCTTAATGTGTAACTAGGTGCTTCCTCTACTGTCCTCACAGGATTTTTGTGTGCTCCAGTGGGATAATATATACAAAAGGGCTTTCTTGAAAAGTTATAAAGTAGCAGCGTTTATAGAGCATTAGCTTTATTCGAATTTGGACAAAAGGTCACAAACCCTGCTGAAACAGAGGGACTCAGAGCTCCACTGACCCCCACTGCTCCCCGCTCCACCAAACATGAGGTCTTATGACCCAAGAGACTGGATTGAAGCCTTTGCCGAGGGTGGGGGGCCAGCCCCCTAGCCTGGACCAGGTGGGGCTCTGCCATTACTCTGTAGGATCCTTACTGACTGATGAGTACCTTTCGTTGTCTTTTTTCCTGTGCCTGTTGGCTCCTTCTTGTGTCCTGGCTGTGTGTGGTCCGCTGGGGCCCCATGCTCTTCCATTTGGGCGTGGCACCTGTGTGTGTGGTCCTGGGCTGCGTCCTGGAATTTGCTGGTTCCTGGGTGTCCTGGCCTGTCTTTGTGCCTTGTGCCTACCTGAAGAAGGGATCGGGGAGGTGCTGGAGAAGGAAGACTGCATGCAGGCCCTGAGTGGCCAGATCTTCATGGGCATGGTGTCCTCCCAGTACCAGGCCCGGCTGGACATCGTGCGCCTCATCGATGGGCTGGTCAATGCCTGCATTCGCTTTGTCTACTTTTCTTTGGAGGATGAGCTCAAAAGCAAGGTGGGCAGAGCCACTCCCCCTTGCTGCCACTAACCCCAGTTCCCGCGGGATTCGGGGATGGCCCATCTGTTCATTGCCACCTGTCTTTTGCAGGTGTTCGCAGAAAAGATGGGCCTGGAGACAGGCTGGAACTGCCACATCTCCCTCACGCCCAATGGTGATATGCCTGGCTCTGAGATCCCTCCATCCAGCCCCAGCCACGCGGGCTCCCTGCATGATGATCTGAATCAAGGTGAGGACAAAGGTTTGTGGTGGGGACGAGGTGGGCGTGGGTGGCCCCCCCGCCTTGGGGCTACGCTAGGAAGAGCCCCCATGGAGCCCTCCTGATACGTCCATTCTGGAAAAATGGCTCTCCCTGTGGTAATGGCAGTTGACGGGAGGAGAGACCTGCAGGCAGGAAGTTCTGTGCCATCGTCAGGGCAAGGAAAGGCTCCCAGAAGCCTGGCCCCAAGGTGAGGGACAGGCTTTCGTCCCCACAGTGTCCCGAGATGATGCGGAAGGGCTCCTGTTGATGGAGGAGGAGGGTCACTCGGACCTCATTAGCTTCCAGCCCACAGACAGCGACCTCCCCAGCTTCCTGGAGGACTGCAACCGGGTATGACGGCAGGGCCTGTGCCCCACACCCCTGGAGGTGGCACATGGCTGGTCCAGGGCAGAGAAGGGAGGGTTGAGGGACCCTTCTTCCTGACCCTGAGGCCTCTGGTATCTCTGCTCTTTCCAGGCCAAGCTGCCCCGGGGCATCCACCAAGTGCGGCCGCACCTGCAAAACATCGACAATGTGCCCCTACTAGTGCCCCTCTTCACCGACTGTACCCCCGAGAGTGAGTACTGTGGTCACGGTGATTCAGGAGCCTGGCCCCTTCCACCGAGCGCTGCCGGGGCCTGGGCATCCCGTGGGCTCTGGAGGCGATGTTGGCTTCCCATGCAGGGAGCCAAGGAACCTGGGCTGGGAGGAGCTGGGGAGCCCAGTGGGCTGGAGCCATGAGCCTATCCGTTCTCGGGAGTCAGAGTGGCCGGGTAGGATGGCCCCAAAGGGGAGCCCACTTCCCCGTGTCTCCTGTCCTGCTGTCCTGTGGGGCTCTGCCCGCCTGATTCTTATGCCCCCTGACTGTCCCCACAGCCATGTGCGAGATGATCAAGATCATGCAGGAGTATGGAGAGGTGGCCTGCTGCCTGGGCAGCTCCGCCAACCTACGGAACAGCTGCCTTTTCCTCCAGAGCGACATCAGGTCAGGGGGACACTGCCGCGACCTCCCGGCCACCCCAGACCCAGGCTTGCAGTCTATGGCTGATTGCCCTGGCTGGGGGACCGAGGGCCCTGGGCATGGTGGGGAGGACAGGGAGTAGGCGCTTGCCCTGTCCCGTGGAGATGGGTCTTTGCGGAGTGCGGCTGACAGGTACGCTTCCCCGTATGCTGCGCAGCATTGCCCTGGACCCCCTGTACCCATCCCGCTGCTCCTGGGAGACCTTTGGCTACGCCACCAGCACCAGCATGGCCCAGGCCTCGGACGGCCTTTCTCCCCTCCAGCTCTCGGGGCAGCTCAACAGCCTACCCTGCTCCCTGACCTTTCGCCAGGAGGAGACCATCAGCATCATCCGGCTCATTGAGCAGGTGGGGGCTCGGGTGGGTGGAGAGGGTGGTGGTGGGGGGAGTAGAGACACAGGAGCCGTCTGGGCTCCCAAGGGCTGGTCCACCTCCAGGCGAAGCTCTCCCAGGCAGTTTGGTTTGCCTCCATCCCTTCCTGTCAGGAGCATGGGGGCATCTTGAGGCTTGTCAGTTGCAGGGCCTGAGAGAGGTCACAATCTGTCCCTCCCGGTCCCTAGGCCCGGCATGCCACCTATGGCATTCGCAAGTGCTTCCTCTTCCTGCTGCAGTGTCAGTTGACTCTCGTGGTCATCCAGGTGAGGCGGGGCCAGCAAGGCATTGCCCCTCCCTGCCCGCTTCTTTGCTTAAGGGCCAGTTGGGAGTCTGAGGCAGGGGGCTGGAAGGATACAGCGCAGCCTAGGGGCCCCCAGAGCCTCTGTGAAACCCCTGGGCTTTTGGAGTTGACCCCATGGGCAGAATAGTGTCCCCTCCAGTCCCAGCTCCTATCTGGGCACAGGGTGAGGCATCCATGGGGCTCCCGGCATCCCACTTGCCGGAAGCTGACCGTGCTTCCTGGGCTCTCCCGGTCTAGTTCCTCTCCTGCCTAGTCCAGCTGCCACCACTGCTCAGCACCACCGATATCCTATGGCTGTCCTGCTTTTGCTATCCTCTGCTCAGGTGAGAAGCTGGCCACCCCTCCATGCCCAGGCAGCCAGGGTGGGGATGTCACCAGGCACCCCCAGGATCCCAGATCCGGGGAGCCCTGCTCAGTGCTCACCTCCTCTGGCACAGGGGTCACCAGGGGGACTCCCCTTGTCTAATCCCTCCTGCCCAAGCGCCCTGCCCTCGGTCCCAACACTCCCAAAAGACTTCCCACATGGGAACTGGGGGACAGAGGGTCACGGTCACCGCCCTTCACCCCATCTCTGCTTTCAGCATCTCTCTGCTGGGGAAGCCCCCCCATAGCTCCATCATGTCTATGGCAACAGGGAAAAACCTTCAGTCCATTCCTAAGAAGGTAAGCGAAGTGGAGCCTGTGAGCCTGGGCCTTTCCCGAGGAATTGAGTGTTGCGGGGGAGGAGTGGGGGAGGCTGAGTCTTGGGAAAGGGGGTGATCAGGATGGGGGGGCTTCCATCAGAATGTCCCCCACCCACAGGGGAGGGGTGGTACAGAGCTGGGAAGGTCCTCGCCAGGGCGGGCAGCCCCTGCTCCTATCCCCCTCCCCGCCCCCTGGCCTGCCCGTTTACTGAAGAGCCCCTTGAGTCCAAGTGCAGAGCCGCTGTGACAGGCCTCCCTCCTCCCGCAGACCCAGCACTACTTCCTGCTCTGCTTTTTGCTCAAGTTCAGCCTCACCATCAGCTCGTGCCTCATCTGCTTTGGCTTTACACTGCAGAGCTTCTGCGACAGCTCCCGGGCCCAAAACCTGACCAACTGCTCCTCCATCATGCTGCCAAGGTGGGTCCTACCCCTCCCCGCCAGCTCACTTCCGCGGGGCCCAGAGGGGCTGAACCCACCATGTCTTGCTTTGGCAGCCATGCCGACACAGCTCCAGCCTGGTTTCGTGACTTTGCCAACGGGCTGCTGTCAGCTCAGAAGCTCGCTGCCGCCCTGATTGTCCTGCACACTGGTGAGGGGCTCCCAAAAAGGGGCCAGTGGTGGCTGGTGGGGGCGCTTCAGGGACCAGGCCTTGGACCATGGCATGTCTGACCCCCACTCCCACCCCGTTTTCTCCAGTCTTCATTTCTATCACCCATGTGCATCGCACCAAGCCCCTGTGGAGAAAGAGCCCCCTGACGAACCGCTGGTGGTCCATGACGGTGCCCGTGGTGTGAGTGTGGCTTAGATGGGGGGAAGGGGCTACAGCAGAGCTGTGATTTGAGGGGGGTTTGGGCCAGAGGTGGAAGGGTGCCCTCCCTGAGCTGCGGTTTTACTGAGAGAAGCAGGGAAGGAGGCAAGGAGACCCGGGGTGATGCAGGGTTCCACCTTCTCCTGCAGGCTGCTGGGGCAGGTGGTCCAGACAGCAGTTGACCTGCAGCTATGGACGCACAGGGACAGCCGTGTCCACTTTGGCCTGGAGGACGTGCCTCTGCTGACGTGGCTCCTCGGCTGCCTGTCCCTGGTCCTTGTGGTGGTCACCAACGAAGTTGTGAAGCTGCACGAGATTCGGTGAGCCACCAGCAGGGCCCTCCCTCTGGGCCCAGGCATACTCCCTAAGCCTGTCACTACCTGAGCTCCATTCCTTTGCCTCCTCAGTACCCATCCCTCCCTCCTCCTCTGGTGTCCTGCCCTGTCCCCTGGTGTGGGGGTCTGTGCTAACCTGGATTTTAATCTGTCCCACCAGGGTCCGGGTCCGCTACCAGAAGCGACAGAAGCTGCAGTTTGAAACTAAGCTGGGCATGAACTCTCCCTTCTGAGCCACTGGCCATGGTGGCCATAGTCCCTGGGGCTAATACCAGACCCATTTCTGAGTCTGGGGAGTTGGTATCATGAATTTTGCAGGGTTTGCTCTCGTGCCCTGTGGCACTGGAGACCCAGATCCCGGTGTCAGACCCAGCTGTCGTCTTGACCCTTGGGGCTACCGTGGAGGAGCTGATGAGCCAAGGCGTTGTCAGGACAGTTCTGGCTCTTCTCTGGGTCTCACCAGGGGCATTCTTGAATGTATGACCTCATGCGCTTAGCAGAGGGGCTCTCAGACCCCTCTACCTGTGGACTGTCCCCCTTCATGGTCCCCTAACCCAGTGCCCTCTGCTCTGGGGTCTGTGGGCAGGGCCATGAACCGTGGGGCCAGGGCCTCAACTTTGTTTTGAAAGGGCAGTTGGCAGCAGCCGTGGGCGGCTGAAGTCCGCTGTTGAAGGCAGGGGTGATGGTGCAACCTCTCTGCACCTCCCTCATCCCGTCTTCCAGGGGCAGGTGCCTGGATATGGCCGAGTACTTGCCCTCCCGCCCTGTGCAGGGGAGCCCCATGGGGACCTGAAGATGGAGAAGGGACCCCACCTCACCCTGGAACCTCTGTGCCTGCCCTCAAGCTGGCCACAAGAGTCCATCCTGGGGAGACAGCCCAGGGCTCCTTTTAGCCCCCCGCATATTTCTCCTGTGAGAATGTTTTTACTGGTGTATATTTTTTACTGGAAATGAGCCTTTTAGGAATGAATTAAAACTTGTAAATTGCTTAAAAACATCTGTGGCTGGTCCATGAGGCAGCCACTAGGGAGGAGAGGAGGGCCCAAGCCTCCCTCCTTCCACACTGGCGGGAGCCTTGGGGGTCCGGTTCAGAGGTCCAGGACACAGACCCAAACACACAGGCCGATCATGTGGAATGACACTTTCATTGGTGTTAGTTGGGGTAAGAGGTTAATGGTTACAGAACCGGGGCCTGGGCCAACCAGGTCAGGCTTCCAGCCCCCAGATGGGCAATGGGCATCCTCGCTGTGGTTCGAAGCCCCTCCCCAACTGCGTCTTCTCAGGCAGTTATAGATAGAATAAATTCCATTTAAAATAGATGCATTTCTCTCTGCTTAAAAAATATTTACAGTTGAAAAAGTTTGGACTTTGGGGATCTGTTAATCCCACTGCCCCCACCCCCGCCAGCTTTGCCTCACTGAGGGCAGGCAGGGGAGGGACCAAGGTCTGGCCTGGGCACTGCCACCGTGGCTAAGCAGGCCCCTGGTGGCTTATATACATGTCCTATGTACACCTGCAGGGACCTGGCCAGACACACCACCTCCTCCAGCCTCTCAGCACCAGGACAGCACAGCAGGTGGCAAGAGGACCTTGGCACAGGAACTTGAGACACTTGGGGGGGTCAGAGACAGCACCCTAGAAGCTCTGCCACCACCTCTTTCTTCCTGGGGAGGAAGCTCTTACCACGGTCCCTGTCCAAGGGGTGGGGCTCTTCACTCAGGTTACACACTGGGAGGGGGTTTTGCTGAGATGTCAGCTGCTGACAAGTTCCCTTGGCCCCTGTGGGGGTGGTCCCCCGAGAACTGCAGTGCTGACTGCCACTAGCTTGGAGCAGCAGGAGCTTCCTCTGCGTTGGGGCAAAAGCAATGGACGCTGCAGGTCACAGTGAGCGCCACCGAGGCTGCAGATGGGTCTAGCTCAATCCAACATGGCATCCAGCTGGTCAGCCAAGGCATCAAACATGGTGCTAATGTCATCCAGAATGTGCTTGGTGGAGGTGCTGGGGGGGCTGCAGTGAGGGAAGGACAGGGTCAGATCAGCCAAAAGTCAGATCACCACTCCAGGCCCTGAGCAAGGGGGCTGTTAACCGAGCACCTGGTCGGTGCCAAGCGCGTTCCGTGAAGCTTAATTCTCATAACCTCCCAAGTCAGCAGGAGTTGCTGTCCCCTTCCTACACAAGTGCACTGGGGCTGAGAGCGGGGAGTGACTTGCCTAAGCTCAAGTACCTCTAAGTGGCAGCCACCAGATTCCCTGCAGGTCAGATCTGGGTGACTACAGAACCTGTGCTCCTCCCATTCCCATACGGGCTTCCCAGCCTGAGGATCTAGCTGCCTGAGATGCCCCCGCCCTCCCCTCAACAATCCCAGGGCCACCGGGGAAGAGGATTTGGGAGGAGCTGTTCCTATGCTGCCACCTTCTCCCCCTCCCCGCCCAGCAGCCCTCACCCTTCTCGCTCCTCAGTGCCAATGCTCTTCTCTGCTGCCCGCAGTGCAGCTGCCAGGGATGAGCTGGTCTGCTCCAGTCTCTGCTGGGCACGGCCTGAGCCCGCGGCCCCAGTGCTCTCCGGCCTTGGAGGGGGTACCGGGCGAGGGCCAAGCCGGGGAGCCAGCTTAGGGCCAGAAAATGCCAGCTGGGTACAGGCCACAGACACAGGCTTGGGAGCTGCTCCTGCAGAAACAAAAAGGTTGGCTTGTGACCTGGCTGGGCTGGGCACAACCCCTGCAAACTGCCCTCTCCCCGCAGGCCCTGCCTCATACCTGTTCCAGGCACCTTGATGAGGGCAGCAGGGGCAGCTGGGGGCTCCGGCTCCCCAGGCCGCCGACTGCCTGCCGAGTTTTCCAGAGCCGGCCCAGGGCAGGGGGACACAGAGGGCTGGGCTGGGGGGCTGGGAGGAAGAGGGGCTGAAGCTCCTGGAGTTGGGAGGCTGCTAGGGTCAGGCCGAGGAGGGCTAGGGGAAGCTGAGGGGCACTCGCTGGGGGTCTGGGGAGGCACGGGCGCAGAGGGGCTGGACGTGGCGCTGGCCACTCCGAAGGCCAGAAGTGCAGTCTGCAGTGGCTCTCTCTCCCGGCATTTGGGCCTCCGTTTAACAGTGTCTGACTCTGTCAGGTTGAAGTCCAGGCCGACGGGCACTGGTATCTCCCGGGGTGGGGGGCCGGCTGGCTTTGGCCGCTGTTTGATAGTCAGGTTCCCCTCCTCTGCAAATGGGAGCCCTTCCCCTGAGCTGCCCCGAGATGGGGGTGTCCCCTCCGGCCCAGGCTCCTCCTCCTCTGTGTCTGATGAGGGGCCAGCTGGGGCAGGAAGGCCAGGGGGCTCCGATGGGCCAGTTGGTTCACTCAGTGTTCGCCTTCGGGGCCCTGGGGCCCCCTCCTTAGGTCCTGGGCTTCCATCTAATGGAGGTGGCTCCGGGGTGGGACCAGAGACAGAGCTGAGGCGCTTAGGGGGAGGGGGTGGGGGGCCTTTGCGTCGGGCCCGGAGGGCAAAGGACTGGCTCCGGGGAGCCCCTCGAGCTGGGGTCTGGCTAGGGCTGGTCCGGGCTAGCGCACTGCGTCCTGGTCGCCGAGTAAGAGTGGCGTAACTGCCCAGGGCACTGCCCACTGGCCCCTCAGCCTCCCCCTCTGCTTCCCCTTCGGCTGGGCCAGGGCGGCTTAGGCTGTGGGACCGGCGCTTGGGCCGAGGTGGATCTGGAGGAGTGGCAGGGGAGCCAGCCAAGTAGGAGAAGGCCCGGGGTGTACCCAGAGGCGGCCCTGGGGCTGGGCTGGAGGGCGAGCCCTGGGGGTACATAAAAACATAAGGGGGAGGCCCTTGGGGAGCACAAAGCTTAGGGGGCCGCTCTGTGCCCTCTGGAAGGTTCCTCTCCTGTGGGGTGCCAGGGTCCCCACCACTGGGCTGGGAGCCAGGCTGTTCCTGTGAGTGACCAGACCCTCGTGAGCGTGCTCCAATGCTCTCCTGGCTGGGGGAGCGGGCGGGGGGCAGGGGGAGTGGCTCAGGGCCATCCCCCGCCATGGCCGCTTGTAGCTCTGGGCTCAGCTCACTGCCCTGAAAGGTGAGGAGGCGTGGGCCAGCCACAGTAGGACCGTCCCCGTTCTCCAGCCCCTCGATGGTCATCAGCTCCGGGCCCCTGGCCAGCCGGCGGCCACTCTCGCCTGAGGTCTCCGCCTGCAGTAGGCCCCGCCGGAGCTCGGCCAGCCGCTTCACTCCCAGCATAAGCTTCTTCTGATGACCTGAGAGGGGTCGATATGGGCGGGAAGGTCAGCCGGGGCTGGAAAGGGTCACCCCAGTCCCTCTTCTGGGCCTGGACCCTGAAAATGTTTTGGAGACCCTCAGAGGCACATGGGGGCTGGGCCAAGCCCCAGTGCAGTCAGTCCTCACCAAGCTTATTGACACCGATCTCCTGCAGCTCCTCCCAGGTGAGGTCGGCCACCAGCCCCATGGAGTCATAGCCACTGCTCACCAACTGCTTGTGGTACTGTGGCAGCCCCAGCGCGCACAGCCACTCCAGCAAGTCCGCCTGGAAAAGCACCACCGTCACGACCGGCTCCCTGGCCAGCTTTCACCCTCAAGTCGGGATGACGCCACAAGGCCACAGCTGACGGTGCGCGCCTGTGCCGGCCACCCACTCACCGGGATGTAGCTGGGCAGCCACTCAGCGATGCTGAGCTGGGCAATCTCTGAGGCAATCTTCTTCCTGTGCCCAGGCTTGGTCACCCCAATGGCTGTCAGGTCCTGCCACAGAGAGTCGTGCCATCAGGCCCCTCCTCTGCCTGCTGGACCCTCCACTGCCCTCTCACAGGGGCACCTACCTCGGGTGTCATGCGGCTGATGGTTGGCACATCGTAGCCGGCCTGCAGGAAGTGGGCAGTGTAGCCCTCTAGCTGGAATTCACTCAGCCAGTTATGAATGGCCTGAGCATCCTGTGGTGAGGGAGGAGGGGGGTAAAGTGAATGGAGCCGAGTGTGCCAGAGCCCAGCCATCTGCCCCAGCCTCCCCCGGGAGCCTGGCCTGAGCAAGGACTTAAGTCCATACTGAGGCCCATCCCATGCCCACCCCGGGCCTGCAGCCCACTCCCCAGTGAAGGTCACACCTTTCCCTCCAGCAGCTGCTCAGGCCTCACATCCTGGGTGAAGAGCTGCTCCCCGGAGCGGTAGTTGGCCAGAGGGCGGTGGCTCAGGTTGTCTTCAAGGAGGCAGAGGAATGGAATCAGAGGTGACAGGATGAAGGGGTGCCAAAGCAGCTCTGCTAGTCCATCCTGTCCCATTTACCCTTCCTACCTGCCAGGGATGGGGGGTGCAGTCCTGGCAGCACCTGGTCCTCTCCAGTGGAAGTGAGCGGCTGGAGACAGGGAAGGAGATGACTCAGCGTTTGGGAAAGTGGCAGCAGGACAGGCCCTGCCCCGTCTCAATACTCACACCCTCTTACCTGGGCGTTCTCAATGAGGAGGCCAGTGCTGTGGCCGTTGGTGCCCTCGGAACTCTGCCCGCTGCCAGCACTGCGGATGCTGCCCACGCTGCCCTCACTGCCCACGCTATTCCTGTCACCTGCTGTAGGGGGCAGAAGCAAAGGGGTTAGAGCCCCAGTTGGCCCTGCCAACAGCTGGCTGGCAGCTTGCCACAGCTGGACCCCCACCCCTGGTGCCTTGTGGGAGGAGGTACCTGGGCTGTCTGGGCTGAGGCCCACGCGAGGGAGTTGGCCATAGGTGAGCGGGTGCAGGGAGTCATCAGCAGGACTCTGCGGTGTCCGGGAGGAGCCTGGGCGCAGGGGAGTAGGCACGGAGGGGAGTCGGGGCGCAAGGATGCCCACCCGCTTGCTGACCACTTCGACGATGCCCGGGGGGAAGTAGCCCACACGGTCGGTGCCCCTCTGACTCTCGTGGATGTGGCCCTTCCAGCGGCCATCAGGATGCTGCTCAAGCACCTGTGACAGATGGGGTGGGGGTGGGGACAACAGTGGTTACTTCCTGTACCAAGCAAGGGCAGGTGGCCAGCCCTGCAGCTGCGGTCCAGCTCTTCCCCTACCCCCAAGAAGCTGGTCTCTGATGCCCAAGTCAGCCCACAGCTCTGCCCCTGCTGTCAGCATCTAGCCCAATCTCCCGGGTGCCTCCAGAACATACAAACAAGGGTCCTGGAGTCAGCCCAGGTTCAGATCCCAGCCTCACTGCTTGCTAGCTGTGTGGCCTTGGGCAAGTTTAATTCTGCCATCTCTAAAAAAGGAAACGGTGATAGCACCTACCTTACCTGGATTAGGAAGAAGTCAACAAGACCGTGCATATAAAGCTCTCAGCACAGAGCCTGATCCACAGTAGGTGCCCAAGTAAGTGACAGTAATCATTCGTGTTTGAAAAGAAATACCTGCACTGGGTCCTCACCGTGATGACGTCCCCTGCCCGGACATTGAGGGCAGTGGGATCATGGAGGTTCCAGAAATCCTTGAGTGCTCGGACCTTAAGGATCCCCGAGGCCTCTAAAAGAAGGGGAAGGACAGCTGTCATCTGAGGGTCTTTCGAGTGCCTTCCCACCCCTCCTGCCCCCTTCATGACCGTCCCCAGGTTCCTGCCTCATCATCTCTGCAGCATTCCCCACAGCTAGCCCCAAGCTCAGGAGTGTGACATCCTGCCCCTGGAACATCCGCTCCTGCTCTACTTCCTGGTACCCACTGGAACAGGGGACCCCCTGGGCTGGGTATTCCACACACACTCACCCCGCAATAGCTGCTTGATTTCCCGGCTGGCCTGGGAGGTGGTGAACTGATTCACGATGTCCAGTGCCGTCTGGTTATACGTGTTCCGAATGTTCACGTCCACCCCGCCCTGGGGATAAGAGTATGGTGTGAGGGTGCACTATGCATTTTGCTTGTCATTTCTCCCAAGCCTCATGACTACCCAGGAGGTAGGTGCTATTTTAAAATTTTACAGATAAGGAAATGGAAGCTCAGAGACAGGGTCAAGGACGAGCTCAAGGTCACTCAGCTAGTAAGAGGCAGAACTGGGGCTCGAATCAGGTCCATGTGAAACACCACGTTGGTTGGGGGGGAGCCCCTCCTTAGCCTCCGCAGCCGGTCTCGGACCTGGCATCCGGTGGGGCTGACCAGGTGCACACACCCACCTCCAGGAGCAGCCGCACCACCTCGGTTTTGCCATATAGTGCAGCCTCATGGAGCGCCGTGCCTGTCTTGGTCTGCCGGTTGATCTCTATCCCAGCTCTCAAGAGCTGCCTGTGGAGAAGAGGGCGAGTCACGAGGGGGTTGGGGGCGGAGAGGAAGTTGATTGCTGGGGGCTTGGGGGAGCGATCCAGAGCAAGGGTGAAGAGGGCAACAGGGCAGGGCACCGAGGGGACACTGCCGGTCCCACAGGAAGGGGATGAGGAAGTGAAGGTGGGGGGAATGGTGGGTACCTGATGACCTCTCTGTGGCCGTTCTTGGCAGCCAAGTGCAAGGGTGTGGTGTAGTTGGGGTCGCATGGGTCTTTGGCCTCGCCCTCCAGCAGTGCCACACATAAATGGCTGTTCAGTAGCAGCTGGGCCACCTGCAACAACCAGCACCCAGGTAGAGCTTCCTCTTAAGACCCCACAGACCCCCAGGACCCAGCACCCGAAGGGCTACAGGCCTCACCTTGAGCCGCCCAAATTCGCAGGCCAGGTCCAGGGGCGTCTTCTTGGCCTTGTTGACCAGGCACGGATTGGACTGATGCTGGAGGAGCATTTCTGACTGGGGTGGGGGAGCCAAGTGAGGCGTCTGGCCTGACCAGCCCCCGTGCCAGCCCTGGCCCCCTGCCCTAGCTCCCCTGTGGGTGGCGGGCTCACATACCACTTCATAGTGTCCGTACTGGGCAGCCAGGTGCAGCGGGATCTGCCCGTCCAGCGAGGCGGCGTTGACGGCCGCAGAGGCCCGCAGCAGCAGTCTCACAGGCTCCAGCCGGCCCTGCCAGGCTGCGTAATGCAGAGGGCGCATGCCTGCAGGAGGAAAGGGGGGTCTGAGGGAGGTCCTGGAATGGTGTGGGGTCAGCGGAGGGACGTGAGCAGGGTCTGGAGCCACCCCAGCTGGAAAGGAGACAGACCCAGCAGAAGCAATGCTGGCTTCACCCAGATTTGGTTAGGGAGAGGTCCGGCTGTATGGGGCTGAAGCCAGAACCCCACCTCACCCACCATAACTGACCTGGTGACCTCATGACAAAAACATAATCTCAACCTCATCTGGATACGGGGATGTCAGTACTACCCACTACCCCATAAGGCTATGAAGATGGAAGAGGTAAAGCATTTGCAAGCCCAGAAAAGCTATATCAACATCTATTAACATTGCTATGACGTAGCAGAAGCAAGCTCTGACCGCAAGGTCTGGGTTGGAGGCACACAGGGGTCTCACCATTGCTGTCCTTGATGTCCACAGTGGCCTGAGCCTCCAGTAACAAGGCTATGAGCTCCAGGCTGCCCCCCAAGGCGGCATGATGGAGTGCAGAGAATCTGGCATGGCGAGACACATGGCAGGGGTGTCAGTGAGCAGCCCCTCACCCCCCAAATCCTGGTCTTCCACACCAAACCCATCCTGGGGACTGACAAGGCCGGGTTACTTGCCCACTGTGCCCCACCCCCGCCAGCCCTGCCGTGGGAGCGCAAAGCAGCCAGGCTGCAGCATGAAAGGGCTCAGTGTCTGGGCTGAGAGGCCTGTTTGTCTGGCCTCCCCTCAGCCGGCCCAGGGGAGGGGGCCGTGGGAGCAAGAGCCCGAGGGCTCCTACCCTCTAGGGAGAAAAGGGGGCCCAGCAGGAATCTGACCCAAGGAGGCCCCTCAGAGAGGCACCAGGGCCCCTCCTCTCACTCAAGGATAGCTCCACAGGCAGGCCCTCCCATCCTATACGAACAGGGCCCAGATCTCTCAGCAAACACACTTCAAGGGCCAAGTTTGCAAGGGGAAGGGGCTCCAAGCCCCAGGTCTTTCCCCCCTCACCCCTCCTCCACCCTACAGCTCTTGAGGCTCACACTCACCCGTCAGCATCCTGGTAGTTGACATTGAGTCTCTTCGTGGAGCCGAGAAGCTCTGGGGGTCAGAGCAGAAGGCATCAGGGCACCCTCAAATGATCTGCTCTTACCCGTACCCTAATCCAGTGCTCCCTTCCTGCCCACCTCCCAAATCCAGCTGACCTCTTGGTGTGCAGGAAAGCACCTGCCCCATGGCCCTTGAGCGTCCTGTCCCATCAGCTCAAGGGCACTGAGTGCAGGGAGCTGCTGGCTTTCTGGGGCCCCCAGCCCAGCTCGTATATAGAGCCAAGGGGGCGGAGAGGGGGGTACTGGCATGCGATGCTCTCAATGGACAGGCCCACGAGCGCATGGTTAGCATTCCTGCCTGAACGGGCCAAGGAACGAGTCTCATTGTCCCAGTAGGCCGAGGAGGAGGACGGACAGGGGCACCAGATGCTCAAGAGGAGAGGGCAGATGCCAGGGCTGGACTCAAGGACCACCATACCCAGCCCTACGACATCCCTGAGTGGAGCACGGTGGAGAAGGTGGCATCAGGCAGGCCTACACCATGCCCGGGCTCTGCCATGTACTAGCTGTGTGATCTTGGACAAGTCACTCAATCTCTCAGTCTCAGTGCCCTCATCTATAACATGGGTGGATCAGGGAACCTGCTCACAAGGGTTGAGTACCCTTGTCAGCATGCAGAAGATGGAAGCCATCGCCACTCAGCACTCCTTACACGTTAGCCACTATCATCAAGTGACTGCCCTCCAGCAAAAGCTGGTCCAGTTCCCCCGCTGGCCCGTCGCTGTACCCACAGGCTCCTAGCAGAGATAATGCCCCGGGCAGGGGGCTCTTTGCTGGGTGGTGGTTTATCCCCCTCCAGGGCAGGAAAAGGATTCACGCAGGTGTGTTCCACTGGTGAGCCAGGGCACGGGAGGGGGTGTCCTTATGGATGTTGGGGAGGGGAAGGGGAATGCCTGTCACAGGCGGCCCCTGCCTCCTGCTAGAACCTACCCCTGCCAGGAAGGAGGAGGCCTGGTTCAACCCAGGCAGGCAGGGTGCCAAGCGTGCTGGTCCAGGCCTGCCCCCAGGCCCTAGTGGGCCCCTGAATACCCCAGCGAGGCAGGGCCTCATTCCAATAGGGAGGGACCAACCCTGAAGTGACGAGCACACACTGGGGTGGGAAGGGGACAGCTACATTTAGGGATGAGTCAAATTACTCTACTGCTGAAAAGGTAAATACAGAGCCAAGGAGTGACTAAGGGGTGAGGAGGTGGGGGCCACTGGGAAAGAACACAGGCCTCCCAGTCTTCCTCTAGCCCCCTTGGAAAGTTCTTGTCACACAGAACCATTCAAGGCAGTTGAAAGAACAGAGGCTCTGGAAGCGGGAAGTGCTTCGTTCAAATTCTTCTCCTTATTGGCTGTGTGACATTGGGCAGTCATGGTACCTCTCTGAGCCTCAGTGAAGAGGACGAGGTCAGCAGGGAAGAGACACAGAAAGTCCCTCCACCTGCTGCCAGCCTGGACAGTTTGGATGGGGCAGCTTGGTGGTGAGGTGCAGCCTCTCTGGGAAGTGGCAGGACAACGTGACAAGAGGGACAGGAACAGGGGCAGGGCAAGGCTGGGTGGCTCTGTTCTTTTCAGAACAATGGCCGGAAAGGTGGTGAGGGAGAGGCTCACAGTGACTGGGCTGGGGATCACGGTGGGAGGGCGGAGGGTCCTGGTTCTGGCAGTGGCTCCAGGCACTTCCCCTGCAGCACAACCTTCTTTCCCGGCCTGGCTCTGGGGGTGGAAGGGTCGCTCCTGATTTAGGCTTGGGCAGAGGATGTGAGCTCAGCAGGCCACCCCCAGCCCACTCCGTTTGTTTCCTCTGCCCAGAGAAGGAGACAGCTCAGAAAAGGGAGTGGGGGAAAGGGAGGAGGGCCGGGGGCCAGGCCGGGGCAACGACACCCCTCTCTGCTCCCAGCTACCAGACAGCGATCAGAGGAGCTGAGGGAGCACCTCTCTTTGGCCAGCTAGAAAGCTCTAGCCACCCCCCAGATGAAAAGGGGGAGCCTTACGCCGCCCTTCCGGCAGTTTCCTTTGCCTCGGTGGTATGAAGCAGGAGTTCCCAGCCTCTCTTCTGAGAACTGCTTTCAAATCACCTGGAGAACTGTCTAATTTGCAGAGTCCCAGGGATGATTCTAATTCTGGGGGGTAACCAGGGAGTCTGCACTTTCAGAACAATCCTAGGGAATTCTGATGAGCAGCCAAGTGTGGGAGCACAGGCGAGAGGGCACGGGCTTGTCTCTGATCTGTCACACAATGGCTGTGTGACCTTGGGCAAATCACTAACCCTCTCTGAGTATCAGTTTCCTTTTCTGTAAATTGGCTATAGAAACAAAGAATTGAAAGGATCATAATATTTCACGAACTATTGGGTCTGCAAATGTCACCTTGCGATTTCCTTTTTGTCACCGGCTTTCCCAACTTCTCAAGGGGCTGGGAGGGGAGCACAGTGCCAGGGCGTCAAGAGTCCCAGGACCCTGTCACTCTGTCTGTGCCTGTACTCTGTAGAGTCACCTTGGGGGCTGCGGGAAGTGACTGCTTCCCCCACAGACATTTCCCCCTGAGCGCAGGGACGCTTCCTGGAGCCTAGGAGCCCAGCTGCAAGGTTCCCACCACCAGCCTCCAGACCCCACCCGCTTGCCCTCCTGAGGACCTCATTCTGAGGCCTCAGCATGTGAGGCCAGCAGCAGCTCAACCAAGGTCCCACTGGGCAGGTCGCCAAAAACAACATAGAGGTGAGGGAGGAGGGGGAGTGAGCGGCTCCCACTCTTGGGCCTCCAGGGCAGGGGACCTCCTTAGCACCTTCACCCCATCATACTCACCCTGTGTCCACTTCCCCATGGCACAGAGACCCCCCCACAGCTCCATGTCCCTATACCCTAAGTCTTCTGCCCTGTTGTATAAGTGGGAGCCTCTGGCTCCTGGGCCCTTAAAATAATTCCTTCTGGCACCCACACTCGCAGGTGTGGGTGGGGATAATTGGACGTTGTCAAGTAGCCTGGGGGACTCCTTCCTGTGCGCAGGGCTAAGGTGTGTCTTGGGGCTAGAGCCCTAGTGCTCTGGGGGAATCCTCCGTCCCCCAGCCCCAGAGTGGTGGCAGCCACCTCCTGCCCTTGCTGGTATAGGAACTCAAGGGGATAAGTCCAGTGTCCTCCTTGGATGGCCCAGATAGCTCGCCCTGAAGCCCAGAGGTCTACTTTCCTTGGGGTCTCACTGCAGAGGTTCCCAAGAGATGGCACTCAGGTGTGGCCATCCATACACGGAGCCCCCACAACCCTGTCAAGACTAGAGGCCCCAGGCTGTGGAAACACCTCCAGAAAATTAGCTTTGGCCACATCCCACCAGGAAACACACACAGATAAGTCAGGGGGAAGGGGCTTTAGCAAGTGATTAGATAGTGTTACAGACATCCCCATTAAGCTAAAACACAAATGCAGAGATGATGTGGTTAAAGTGGTGTAGGTGGGGGGTGGAGCTCTACCTGTTCAGTCTTTCCCAACCCATTGCCAGAAACCACATGGCTCCAGAGAACACATCGGAAAACCACCTACTAGAAGACAACCCCATGAGGGCAGGAATTTCAGTTTGTTTCATTCACTGCCGTGGCCCAGTGCTTAGAATACAGCCTAGCACGCAATAGGCACTCAAAAAAATTTGAGAGAATACATTTCAGCCCTTTTCTTTTACAGGTGAGGAAACTGAGGCCCAGCGAGGTCAAATGACTTTGCCTAAGACACACAGCAAGTGGGACCCAATATCCTCTCTGGCTCTCCCACACAGACGAACTCCCTGTACACAAGAAGACAGTTCTCCTACCCCAAGTCCCCAGATCACAGGGACGCCCCAGGCCTCTCTGTCTGACTTGAGCACTCAGGGGAAAGTCTCAGCTGGACAGTCACCCCCACCAAGTACTCACTTGTCTTTGCAGCCTTGACTTTAGCCACCAGTTTCTGCACACCAGTCACATCTCCGTTCTTGACGGCAAGGATCAGGTCCTGTTCACGACCCATCCTGGTTCCTGGGCTGGGCTCTGGGCTCAGAAGTCCAGGGCAGAGGCAGGAAAATTGGCCTAAGCCAACGTGTCAGGGTACCATGCCTTGGTCCTTTAGAGGGCCAGGCGTCCTGGGGGAGCGTGTCTGGTGTCCCAGGCAGTGAGCTTCTTGTCAGGGGCTGACAGGTACTCTCTCAAGGTGCTTCGTGAGCTGCCACCACAAGCAGGAAAACCGATCTCTGAGGGGGTGGAGGCTGCTCAGAAATCTGGACAGATATCAGCTTGCAGCTTCCGACAGCCCCAGGATGAGCCAGGACTGGGCACGCCAATATCCCCAGCGTGGCTTAGGAGCAGCGATGCCCACTCAGACAGCAGCCAGCATTCCCTCAGGCCTCGAGCAGCAGCAGTGGACAGGTCTCAGGGGTCTGGAAAAGGTGCAGTGCCTCTCTGCTGAGGGCTGGGCCAGAGCCTGCAAGGATCCCAGAAGCAGGGCTCAGAGAAAGAGCAAGACAGGGCCTCCAGGGAGCCCCCCAAAGCACGCTGGCCGCTCTTCTGAGTCAAGGGAGGGGCTGAGCCACTCAAAGCGGAGAGGGAGCTGCCATGCAAGACAGGAATACTTGGAGGGGGGAAGGTGGCATTCCGGGAGGGGAGGCTGAGTCACTAAGGCCCCAGGGCACCTGGCAGCACCTCAACCTGGGGCAGGCCGGGCCAGCAGCCTATTCTCTACAGCCCAAGGCGCTGACACCCACGGACAACTGTTGGGCCAGGAGGTGGGGCCTGGGAGGGTCAGGCACAGGCAGACAGGCAGGGGTCACTCCCTGTAGAAGGTGCCTGGCCCCCAGACTCCTCCCTACCTAAGCTTTACTATAATAGCTTGGATGCCCTAGCCCTAGGGCTCTTGAGGAATCCAGAGTGGTGTGGGGAGCTTACGGCCCCCCATTTGTGGTGAGGGTTTGCCTGCTGGACAGGGAGGCTTTACAGCACCTGTTGCTGACCCATCCTCACCCCTTGTGCGTGATGGGGAAGCAGCTGGGCAGAGAACAGAGACAAGTGCTGGGGCACTGCTGGCAAATGGGGCTGCCTGGCCCCCCAAGCCTGAACCTGAGGCCCAGAGCCCTCAGTGGCCACGACTTTGTTGCCCGAGTCCTGTGGCATGAGACCCGCACCGGCCTGGGGCTCTGGCTGGGGACTCCTCACTCCCAAAACGTCCCAAGCTCAACCCAGGTGGCACTCCCTCTCAGGGCCCGTGGCCGACAGTGGGGGAGGGCGCCCCTGGCAGTGCCTGGGGTCGGGCTGGCTTCCCCGCCCCCCGGAATGCCCGCCCAGCGCCGCGCAACCCCCCAACCCAGCCCAGCCCAGGCCGACCTGGGGAACAAAGCGGCGGGAGGGACGGGGAGGGCCAAGCGCCGGAGGGAATGATGCGGGAGGACGGAATAAGGGGGCGCGAAAGAGGACGGAAGGAGCAAAGAGGCTGAGGCGCCCGCCGATCCGGCAGAAAAAGTTAGTTTGTGCCCGCCCTCAAGGGTGCTGACCCCCAGCTTAGGCCCCGCAGTCTCACCTCTCCCAGCCGCCCCGCCGGGGGTCTAGCTGGCCCTGCGCGGTCCCCGGCACTCTGGACCGTGGCTCCTACTGCCCCCCTTACCCCCTTTCTCCTCCTCCTCCTTTTCCAAGGCCGGCTCGGCGCCTCCCGCAGGAAATCCCGCCCCTCCCCCCCTCCCTCCCGCCCGATCGGGAGCGGAGGGACCGTCCCGGCCGCGCAGTCAAGCTGTCAGTCAGCGCCCGCGGCCCCGCCCCCATCCGCGCCAGACCCCACCCCCATCACTCCCGTGCAGACCCGAGGAGCTGGCGGAGCAGCGCATGCGCCCAGGTGAAGCGGAGGTTGTGTAGGCGAGAGTGTTCCCGCTGCGGAGCCGGGGCGACCTGGGGCTCTAGAGTTTAGACCGAAGGGTTTGTGACTGGGTGGGAGAGAACACGTGATGTTGAGGGGTCTGGGAACAGAGACCCGTGGACCACCCCTTCCACTTTGCCCACCGCCCCTCCCCCGGACTCCCGCAGCGACCTCCGCCCGAGTCCAGAGTCGCCGACCTACAGGCTGGTCGGAGCAATGGTGCCACCTAGCGGACGGTGTCGGAGCGGTCCATGGTGGCGGCGGCGGGGACCCCAGCCTCGAGGTGCTAATGACGGGCTGGGTGGCGCTTCAGCACCATCGTGGCCGGACAGCGCCTCCCGCCCCCCCACCCACGCCCTCCAAACCCAGCTTACGAGCCCTTCTGAAGGGACCCAACAGAAGACGCTGAAGAAACTATGAACCTCCCCAGACCGCACCTGACAGCCCCCGGTGGCCTTCAGTTTGCGAAGCTGGAATTCGGGAACCCATTGCTCTCCCTTCTCTAAACCCCCTTTTCCTCCCCACTTGTCTAGGAGGGACTGATGGTGGGGTCTAAAGCAGCCCAGGACTGTGGAGGGGAGGGTCATGCATTTGATTATTCATACTACATTTTCAGACGCCGGGTTCCTTAAGTTTTACTAGAAAGGAGCTCAGAGGAGGGCTAGGGATGGTAGAGGCGGAAGCTCCTAAAAATCCAGAAACCTGCAAGCTCTCTGCCCCTGGAATCGAGGCACATATTTGTTGAGGGCGCTAGGACCCAGGACAGCCAGGAAGGCAGAGAGCGAGTGGGTTGATCCGCAGATCAGAGGAGCGGAGGTCGGATCCACAGGCGCTAGGGCCGCGAGAAGATCCGGCGGTGGGCGGGGCATGGGCGGTGCACGCGCAGGCGTAGACGGCGGACCCATGGACCTCAAACCAGAGCTAGCAACCGTGGAGGTTCCTGCTGGGCGCGTGCTCAGGTGCGGCGCGGTCTGGCCCGGGGAAGTCAAGGGGACCATGGGGTGGTCGCTGGGAAGGGGACGGGGGTTTGGAATTGGTCCAGGCGGCCCCAACTGCCTGACTCTGACCCGCATCTCCTCCAGTGCCCAGGAGCTCCTCGCCGCCCGCTCGCGGTCCCAGAAGCTACCCCAGCGCTCGCATGGCCCCAAGGACTTCCTCCCCGACGGCTCGGCGGCCCAGGCCGAGCGGCTGCGCCTGTGCCGGGAGGAGCTCTGGCAGCTGTTGGCAGAGGAGCGCGTGGAGCGTCTGTGAGCGGGGCGGGAAGGGGGCGGGGCCGGGACTGGAACTCGCGGGGCAGACGGACTGCGTAGACTCGGGTAGACTGAGACGGACTCCTCCCCACTCCTCGCCAGGGGCAGCTTGGTGGCCGCGGAATGGAGACCGGAAGAGGGGTTCGTGGAGTTGAAGTCCCCTGCGGTGAGCGACGGGGCTTAGGGACAAGGGACCAGCTTTCTCTTCCCTTTCTGGCTCTTTTGTGACATTTGCTGTGGGTCCCACACAGGGTAAATTCTGGCAAACCATGGGCTTCTCAGAGCAGGGCCAGCAGCGGCTTCACCCCGAGGAAGCCTTGTATCTGTTGGAATGTGTAAGTGGGGCCCCAAGAGGGTGGGGAAGTAGTTGGGATCAAAGAACGTGAAGAAGACGTGGGGGGTTCTTTTTTGGAGAGAAAGTATACACAACTGAATGTTCAGGAAGCTTGTAACCTGACTTCTAGAGAAAAAGAGAAGAATGATGCGCAGGGAGTAGGGATTCCAGTCCATATTAGTGTTGCTGTTGCTCCCCCCTTCCTGGTGGACCATATTCTTGCTGCCATGCTTGGGGACAGGCGGGGGTGGGGTGGAAGGTGTTGGGTTGCCACAGATGCTAGAGCCAAGAAGTTACCCCTTTGATTCTGCCACTGCAGGGAGGGTTTAGACGTTGAGCTGTTGGCCCCACTTCTAGGGCTCCATCCAGCTTTTCCACCAAGACTTGCCGCTGTCTATCCAGGAAGCCTACCAGCTGCTGCTGACTGAGGACACTGTGACTTTCTTGCAGTACCAGGTATCTGCCACCCTCTCCCAGGAAAGGAGCCACCCATCCACTGAGTCAGTGGGTATTTACAAGTATCTACAATGTGCAAGGCACAGAACCATATGTTGGGGCTACAAGACAGGCAAGGACTCTGCTGTCATGAGGCTTACATCCTAGAGGTGGCAATGGATGATAAAATCAGCAGGCAAAAGAACAATTAACTTCACAGAGCTGAATGCTAGGAAGAAGACAGTGGAGAAGCACAAGGCTAGAGACATAAGCGTGACATCATGACCACATGGATGGTATTTAAAACCAGGGGGGCTGTATGGGTGTGTGGCCAGAGTGAAGGGCTGCATCTGAGACCTTGGGGACTCCAACATGCGGAGGTCAGGGGGAAGATCAGAGACCAGAAGCAAACTGAGGAGTGTCCAGCAATGCAAGAGAAAAACCCAGAGAGGTAACATCACAGAAGCCAAGAAATTTTTTTCAAGGAAGAAGTGGTCAGCTATGTTGAAGGCTGCTGGGAGATGAAACAAGATAGGGGACATTCTGGCATGCATCTCTGATATGGATAGGGGACAGGAGGATGAACGTATGGCTCTTTATCAAAGCCCACTCCCACTCCACTCCCGTCAGTTGAGGGGCAGGGCCAGGGGATGTCCACCAGCTTCTGCCATGTTCTTGTCCACATTGTAATCAGGAGCTTCACTCTCATCAACTTTGGTATCAGAATATTTCAGGGCATAGTTCTTTTCTTGGCCTATCAGCTATCAGCTTTTTGGGATTTGCGTTTAATTCAAGAAATTGCTATATGTCATTTGTGCCCAAAGCAAGAGACAGGAAGTCATACTGAGACCTTAGTTTGAGGAGGGTATTTATTAATAGAGTGTGGTTCAACCAATCCTAGGGTTTGGAATCTGGGGGTGGGTAAGGGTGGGGGTGTGAGGAATGGCTTCTCTCCCAAGAAACCTATTTCATGTTTTCACAAGTGGAAGTATGACCTTTACTTCTTTTCTTTTGAGGTCTTCAGCCACCTGAAGAGACTGGGCTATGTGATTCGACGATTCCAACCCAGGTAAACCATTATCCCATTTCCCTCCTGTTTCCTATAGTCCTGGCATCTGGGTGACTAGCCCCAGAGTGGAAGTGGCCTCTGCTTACCTGGAGTCCTGGCCTGGAGCTGCAGCTCTCTGGACACGGGCTGGGGGCTTCTGCTGGAAATGATCTATTGAGAGGCATGTTGGGACTATCTGGGTCATTTCAACTTATCCTGGGTTATCAAATTGAGCCCCATTTTCAGCCTGTTCACTCCACAGACAACGATTGAGTACCTACAGCTAACTGTTAGCATAGAAATGCACTGGAACAGGGCCTGGCACTTAGTAAGTGTGCAAGTAGACTTGTTGAGTGCAGGCATGAGTGAAGGAATTAACAGTTGATAGGGTTTCACAGCCCTTTGGCTAGGTTACATGTTCTTTCCTTCTGGGGTCTCTGAAGTTCACCACCTTAGTAATCCAACATTGCCAGGAGCCACAGAGACCTTCAGACTTGGAGTGGAAACTTGTACAGCCTTTGCAGCTTCCAGGATGTCACAAAAGCTCTAGGGCAGAGCTTTAATTTCTGAAAGTGGAATATATCCTAAGGGAATAGTCATAGATGGATGCGTTAAGTTCACCTGTGAGAATGTTCATGCATTCAATAATATTTGTTGACTACTTACTGGGTGCCAGGCCCTGTGCTCATTGCTGAGGAATAGCAGAGAACAAAATCACTGCCCCACACAACTTGCATTTATTGGGGAGCTTACACAAAAACACCATCACTTTGCAAAATCAGTGAACTTGGAAACATCCTATGCGTCCAACAGGGAGGGCATAGTCACAAAAAATTAGCTTATCCCACAGAGCAGCACTGTCCAATAGAACTTTCTTTTTTTGTCAGTGATGAAAATGTTCTACATTTAGACAGTCCAATGTACTCATTTGTAGCTTGTGCAACTGGATTTTTAACTTTAATGGATTTAAATTTAACTTCAGTAGCTCCTCATGTCTAGTGGCTACCGTATCAGACAGTGCAGCCTCAGGGCCATGAAAAAAATCATGGCAGGGAGGAATGCTATAGTGATAACGGGCCATATCCATAATATATTGGGGGAAGGGGAACAGACAAGTTGCTGTTTTGTTCTTTAGTCTAGTTGTGGAGGATGTTGCTTCACTGGCCCAAGCTTGCACCATCATTGCGCTCTTCCCGGGCAAGGCAGATCAGTCGCTGGCTTCTGGACTGCCGCTCACAGCAGCTGCTGGCCGCTCACGATGGCTGCCGGCTACACGCGGTAGCTTATGGCAGCCCACTGCAGCAGGGGGCTGCAGCCTATGCCATCGCCGGCAACCCACAGCAGCCCAGCTCCAGGTTGAGCTATTGTTCAGCATCTTAGCTGTAGAGGGCAGTGTTACTGGCCCTCATATGTGGGATCCGAACCGGGGCCCTCTGGCATCCCAAGCCAGTTCTTAACGCGCCACTCGGCCGGCCCCATAATATCTTACTGATTGAAACAAAAGGACTACAAAGCAGTATGTCATTTTTGTTAGAAAAAGCAAATATGGAGAGAAACAGTGTGGTGTTTATAAGAAACAAAAATGTTACAGTGATATGCATGGGTTTTTCATTTTTATTTTCTAAGTTTTCTGGTCCTTGCTATTTCTCATCAGTGATTAATCATTTGCTTCTGGCTCTGTGGGGGCCCCTGCTTCCAGGGAGCCTCAGTTCAAAGGTGCCACACAGAGGCCTGGGCACAGATGCATGGGCAGCCCCTTGTGGCAGCCCCTATGTACCCTGTAGGCAGGTCTTCCTTAGCCCTTGGATTTGGCGCTGACCATGGCCCACTGACTTGTCCGCTGGGCCAGCCCCTCACAAACCCCACCAGGAGCACCAGGCTGAGAAGGTGGGTCTGTTGTTCACCCCAGTCTCACCCCGCAGCTCCATCCTGTCCCCTTACGAGAGGCAGCTGAACTTGGACGGCAGTGCCCAGTGCGTGGAGGATCGGAATGGCAAGAGGAAGAGGAGGAGCTTCAGCTCTCGGTAATGCTCCCCACTTAGCCCACCCCAGGGAGTTCTGGGGGGCAGAGCTGGTGTTTGAGACCTTGGAGAATGCATAGGCTTAAGAGCTGGGCTTGGGCAGCTCCCTTGTGGGCTCAAGGAGGCAGAAGTGCACTCACAGGACGTGTGCACCTCAGCAGTCAGGAGCAGATGTGCTGTGTTTCTTTCCCATGTCCCTCAGGTCCATTAATAAGAAGCCCAAGGCCCTGGAGAACCCCCTGCAGGGGATGGATGGGACACCTGAGAGCCTGGCAACCTCCATCCAGTCTTCCAGCAACCAGAACATCCGATGCCTAGAGAAGAAACCCCAGGATTCAAGCCCCATAAAGGACCCAGGGGGCCCCTTTCAGCTTCTGGGGTCCCTCGAGCCCAGCCCTGGCCTGGCCAGGGAGGGGGTGGGGTGCAGCCAGGAGAGTGGCCAAGTAGAGAATGGGGTCAAGGGGGCTTGTAAGCCACGCTGGAACTTTGAGCAGATCTCCTTCCCCAACCTGGCTTCAGATAGCCGCCACACCCTCCTGCTCGCCCCAGCCCCAGAGCTACTCCCAGCCAATGTGGCAGGGCGGGAGACGGATGCTGAGTCCTGGTGCCAGAAGCTGAACCAACGGAAGGAGAAGCTCTCCAGATGGGAGCGGGAGCAACAGGCAGAGGCCCGACACTTCTGGGAGGACATAAATGCAGATGCCCAGGTGCAGCGCTGCTCCAGCTGGAGGGAGTACAAGCAGCTGCTGCAGAGGCGGCACTTGCAGAAGACCCAGAGCCGCCCCTCACACCTGTGGGACCAGCCTGTCACCCCCTTGTTGAGTCCTGGCCAGGCAGACTCTCCAGGTACCCTCTCACAGGCCACTGGCAGCTAAGGAATCACAAGACTTTAAAAGGGGCCCGGGTTGCCCAAGACTAATTGAAGCTTAAGAATGATGGGGGAGGAGAGAGCTGCCCATGGGGTATAACCCACAAGAGCAGTCTGTTTTCCTGGGAAATGGCAAAAGGACCCATGTGGGAAGGTTTACAGATGGCGAGTCAGTGCTCAAGGAAAGGACAAGAAAGGAATGAAAACTCTGAGGAAGTCCTTAACGTCATACACCAGATAGGTGTGGACGGCTCTGCCACCAACTTGCTGTGCTCCCTGTTCTCCCAAGTCTGTTAGGGAGAATAAGGTGATACGTAGGCCAAATAAAAGGAAGGCTTGCTGTATGCCTTAAGAACGGGACTAATAGGGCAAGAATGATATTAATAGAGTCATAACTACTTCCAGTCCTTACAGGAACATGGTAAATTATAAGTAACTTAGGGTTGCCTGTAAGTAACTGGATTGGGGTTGCTGGATCAATTATATTTAGGATAAACAACACAGGACATCCCTATACTAAAAAGAAATCTGCTAAATCTGGGAACCCTAAAGTAGAATGGCAGGGGAGTCTATAGATGACTGGCTCCCCTCCCAACGCTTTATTTTCACTGTCCTTATAGCCGCAGTCCTTCAGCATATCTCTGTGCTACAAACGACACACCTTGCTGATGGAGGTGCCCGGTGAGTTTCTCGGTAGTGCCCGTCTCCATAGTACTTTGGCTGCCAGTAGGAGTTGGCAGCTGGGATTTGACTCCTGAAGTTAGGTATGAGCTGAGGGATCATTCCCGGGACCCCTACCCTGGCTAATATTCATGTGTGTCTAGGGGAGAGGGAGGAGTGGATTTACCCCCAGGGTTCTGAGATGGGCAGCTGAGCCTCCCCTGCACGTTAAGTGGCACCTCACAGCAGGTCCTCAGTTCTCCTGAACAGGCTGCTTCCTGGAATGGGGGGAGGGAAAGGGTGGCATGGAAAGAAAAGGTGGAGCAAGAGAGTCCCTAAGGTTTCTCACTCTGTCCTCAGGCTGCTGGAGAAGCCTGGGGGCTTGGAGATCAGCTTTGATGTTTACCAGGCTGACGCTGTGGCCACGTTCCGAAAGAATAACCCTGGCAAGCCCTATGCCCGGATGTGCATTAGTGGGTATGAGACCAGCGAGCGCTGCCCCCAGGCTGCCGCCAGTTTTCATGTAAACCAAGTGAACTGCCTCTCCACACCCTTGGCAGATTTGTCAATCCTGAGAGGAACCAGAGGTCCAAAGAGATTATGTGACCCACACGAGGCCACACAGCCAGTTAGTGCTACGGGAACCCAAGCTTCCCAGTCCTCAGCCCTTATTCCTGGCACTTTCAGGTAGTCTCTCTCCTGTCCTGGGCTCATTTGAGAACCTGACTCTTCCCAGCCCCCTTACTCAGCCATGCCTCTGGGTCTCTCTTGAACTTAATCAGAGCCATGCAGTTTGCAGACAGAAGAGTCCAGGAGCCAGACTTCTTGCACTCTCAACTCCTGTCTTAGTCTCCCTTTCCTGGGAGCCACAGAGGGCTGGGTCTCAAAGCCTGTGGGTAGGCTATGTCCAGGTCTCAGTCTAACCTTTATCCCTGCAGATTTGATGAGCCAGTCCCAGACCTCTGCACTCTCAAGCAGTTGTCCTACCAGAGCGGGGATGTTCCTCTGATCTTTGCCCTGGTGGATCATGGAGACATTTCCTTCTACAGCTTCAGGGACTTCACACTGCCCAGGGACCTGGAACACTGACTGTGCAGCTCTGGCAGGGCCTAGGGCCTGCTGGACGGGGTGGGGCGATGGGGACCCAGACTGCCTACTTTCAGGGACTATCTCAGCTGCCTCCTGCACCCTGTAGCTGCAGGGGCGTCTGGGCCGTGGCCCTGGATGCTGATGTTGCAGAAGAGTGAAGCTGAAACCCACCTCTACTTGGCTGTTGCAATGCTTCAGAGCCCCAGGCCTAAGATTGCTGCCTTGCAGTGATCCTCTTGGAACTCAGCACTAGATTTTAGAGACCCAGCCGGGTGGGTTAGAAGAGAGGATTCTGTGCCTTTCAAGGAGAGGGTGCCTGCTTCATGCGATAAAGCCAAAGCCATTAAAAAATAGATCCCTTTTATGCTGTGGCTGGATATACTGGAGAAGTCCCCCAGCCCCCGGATGGCGGCACAGACCCCCACCCCAACCCGTTGTCGGTGGAACTGGCCCCCGGGACCTCACCCCTGCTTTGCCCACCCACAGACAACACTGCATTCTCCGGTGCAAAAGCTAAGAGAAGCCCGTGGGAGGGCAGGAACGCGACCCCGCACCTTTCTCGAGGCCTGCATCGGAGGTGATGGAAAGTCACAGACCTCTGGTCAACTTAGCTTTCTGAAGGAGGTCCGAGGAGGGAGGCCAGCGCTCCAGCGGCTTCCCCGAGGGCAGCGAATCTGGGTAGGGCACCTGAAAGGCGTCAAATCGGTGCAGCTTGACCCCCAGTTGCGAGCTGCGCGGTGGAGCGCACCATTTACGCCTCGGGCCTGGCCTTCGCTCCCGCCTATGGCCGCTCTAACCCCCTCGGACTAAAAACTGATTGCTGTTGGTGTCCCTCGGGGCCTGGGGCGCCCGCCTACCTCAACAAAAACTCGGGAGAAGGCGGTTCCTGGCTTGGGGCCCGCCCCAAGGGGAAGCGGCGACGGCCCGGTCCCCACGCCACCTCGCTCTTGGGTCTCGAAACAGCCTTGTGCCCGCTGGTCACCCTCTGATTGGATTGGGCGCTCTCAGGAAGAGCCGGCCCGGGTATGCCCCTCCCTCGGCGCTCCGTGCCGGGTTGTGGGAGGGACGGCTCCTCTAGGCAGTCGTACTGGGAGGTGGCCGGGAGCCGTCGCGCGTTCCGGGAACTATATTTCTTCCGGGAGGCGGCGGGACACTGGGCGCGGCGAGTCGTTTTGCGACCAGGTACGCGCAGGTGAGGCCGAGGGCGGGGCGGCAGCACCTCGTGCATATTCTCGCTCACCTTGGCCCCGCCCCGAGCTGCCTGGGGCCACGGATTGGCCCGAATGCGGTCCCCGCCCCTTGGGGGCGCTCACGCCCCGTCCGCGCCGGGCTGTGGGGGGCGGGACTGAGGCGGGGCCGGGCCACTGGGGCCCCGCGCTCGGGTTCTGCGGGCCCCGCCGGCTCGCCCTTTATGTAAATAGTGGCGGCTCCGCCCCCTGCTCGCCGCGCTGGAGGTGAGCAGGAAGGAGACGGCCGCCCAGCAACCCGTGGGCCGGCGGCGGAGTGAGCGGAGCCAGCGGCTGGCGCCGAGGGACTCGGAGGCCTCGGCGGGGCCGGCCTGGGGTTCCAGGTGAGGCGCGGGCTGGGGCCCACCTATCCGGGTCCGCCCCCTCGGGGCACCAGCCTCTCGGGGTGGGGAGGCAGGGGAGGGCTGGGACCCCGGGCGGGGCGGGGAGGGCTGCGCCCAGGTCCGCCCGCCTTATCCTGGACCCAGTCGCTCTGCTGGTCTAGGAGAAAGACACCTGTAGAAAGTGCCACTGGGAACTTTTCTCTGCCTGATCTGCCCGCGATTACAGAATTTAGGTTTCGGGCTTGCGCAATAGTGTTGGCTTTGGGGAGTGGGGAAACAGGTGCCCCGCCCGGCTGGGTGCGAGGGTCACCGCGAGCGAAGACGGAGTCCCGGGGGTTCGGACCCCACGTGGAAGGTGCCGACGGTTGAGGCCGGCGACGTGCGTCTCCGATAGCCCTCTCTCTGGGAGCGGCGACCGGAGAGCTTTACGTCGACGGCTTAGCCCCCGTCCCTGCCATCTGGGCCCTCTCCCCACCGGCCCTTTGTGTCTCCTAATCCCCGGACGCAGGAAGCCCGCGGGAGGGACTTAGGTCTCGGGGCCTCTTTCTCTGCCTCGGGCGGCTTTGGGCACCTCTAGGGGACAGTATCTAGACCCAGTCTATTTTCCACAACGACAGAGGTGGGGTTGCACTGTGGAACGTTGGGACTTGGCTAGGAATGAAAATCTGTCTTGCCAAAGAAAGTGTGCAAAGTTTGCTCAAGATTTGCTCCTGCTGGATGGTTCGTAGACACATTGAGCTTTGGCTGGGGGGAGAACTGACTGTAACCAAGAGAGACATGGCGTGGCTCCCTGAAGCTTTCCCCTCAGACAGGTGAGTTTTGGGTGAGGTGGGTGGGGCTTAGATTCAGGCTCCTTCCATGGGGATCCATGTGCCAGATGCAGTGCGTCTTAACTTGGACTCTAGGGACCTTCTGCCGAGTTTACAACTTAAGGGTGCAGAGGGGATTCTGAACAAGGAGGAGAGCTGGGAGGCAATGAGTGTGTCTGGGAGACAGGAAACCCCCAGGTGGGAAGAACAGAGCCGCAGTACAGAAGAGCCGTGGACCAGCACAGGGGAAGCCAAGGTCAGAAGACGCTTTTGAGGAAGACAGTCTGGGTCTGTGTGTGAACTGAGGTCCAGGAACGGTCCTGGGAGATGGTCCAACTGCCTGATTTTATGGACAGAGAATCCAGGTTTGGTTTCTTTAATTGATCTGTGTACAGTGTCCACTTCATGGCAGTCAGGACTCAAATCTGGCTGTGGGGGCTGTGACCAGGACTGGCTCCTCTTCTCAGAAGTTAGACTGGGCCAGTCTCTGTAGGGGCCACTGGACAGTGTTTGGGGAGATGAGACGTTTGAGAAAGTATGAAATAAGAGGGAAATACAGCCTTTCCTTAAACATAGTGTTCATTAAGTGTGTTAGTGTCTTTCCATTCTCAGGTATAGCTTTGAATTGTGCTGGCCGATTTTTCGTGCTGCATAACCTTGTCTTGGTCACTTAACCATACCAAGCCTCAGCCAGCCTTATTTTTTACTGCTGTTGATAAGAAGATGGAAACGGTCACAAACACATGTGGCCTGGCATGTGGCAAGTGAGAGTGCGCTTCTTAGCATCCCCACAAAGCATAAAAAGCAAGTGTGGTCACTTGTGGGCCTCTGGGCAGACATCTGGGCCTTTGGGGCATACCTGATGGATTGTGAGGGAATCTGGCTTCTCTGTCCAGAAATCGATCAAGAAGGTCATGATTTCTGAGAGCCTCTGGAAGTCAGAACCTTTAAAATGAGGATGGGAGTAGAGGGACACCGAGGTAAAGGGTAGTGGCTTCTCTTAACCTCACCTTGTGTTCCGGTGGCCCCTGGTAATTCCCCTGCTCCTTGGGAGCCAGGAGTGAAGCCTGATGGCCAGACCCCAGCTGAGGATCTTTGGGGTGGGGGTGGGGGATCTAATCTGTTCTGCTTTCTGCTCAGGGGGAGGGGAGCACATTCCTGCGCTGCTCGTTGTCATTAAGGAGATTTTCTGAGAATTCCATGGTGCTTTCTTTCAGCCTTATTTAGGGAAGAACTTCTTGGCCCCACGACCCTCTCCCTAGGAGAAACTGGTGCATGAAGCTGGAAAGTTTGGAGCCTTTACAGCCAGTCTGTGACCCCCTGTCTACCCTATTGGACAAGAGCCTCCAGGAGTAATGTGGGGTTTCCTGAAGGGTTACTCAGCCTTCCTGGTCCTTCCAGATGTGTCTGAGGTAGCTCCTGAGACACCTAGTTGGGGTAGAGAGGCTGGTGGTCCCTACTTCTAGGGTGGCTGTTTTGAGCAGCACTGGCCCCCGGGACTCACTTACCCTGAGTAATCGGCTTGGAGAGGCCTTCTTACCTCACTCAGGCAATGCCACTATCAGGGTTCCTCCTGGGTCAAGGCATGCCAGGTCTGTTTGGCAGCTTTGTCTTCTCTTGCCCAGGAGCAGTTTGCAGGGAGAAGTGGGGTAAGGGGCAGGAGATGGGCATTCCCCAGTGGGGCGTCTGGTTCTGCTCGCCCTTCTCCAGCCCTGGCTCCCCAGGGTCCCCCAGGAGACCCTCCTCCCTGCGCCCTGTTACCATGAGGCTTTGCCCAGCTTCCTTTGAGGTGACCTCCCCTCCCCTCCCTGCCTCCCAGAGGAAACTGGTCCTCTGAAGAGTCATCCCACTCCTTCCACTTCCCAGGAACCACAGTGAATTCTTGAGCTAGGAGAGGCTCCTCTGGGCGTGGGGACAGGGAAGCTGCTAGGGACCTGACTCTACCCTTCAGGAATTCAGCAGTGACCGGAGCCTTCTCTCGAAATACCTGACTCAGTGTTCCCAGGGTTTGATGAAAGGGACCTCTGGGCACAGAACTGTTTGACTCTTGTAACTAATGATAGATATTGTTGGGTTCTTTTTGCCAAGGAGCTGGGTGTCCTGGAGCCTTGGACTGAGGCAAGGTCCACAAAGGTATCCCCAGCTAGATGCCAGGCATGATGTCCACATGGCCCTGGCCAGAGGCTCGAGAGCAGGATGGGGAAGTTCCCTGAGGGGCCCTTTGGTGCCCCAGCCCAGTGTTCTCTGGGGTTAGTGGCTCCCCACTGGAGAAGACCTTAGCCTAGTTGATCCCCATTCAACCCTACCTGTTCATTCATTCACTCAACAAGTATTTACTGGTGCCTCTGTGTGTGTGGCGTGGCTTAGACACCAGGCATAATCCTTACACAAAGCAGAGATCTCTTGTCATCACAGGACTCTCATGCTAAAGGGTGGGGAGCATGAGTGACAGAAAATAAGCGTAAGTAATCATGTGTCAAAAGGCCATATGAGCTACAGAGGAGCAACTGAAGCAGGGGATAGGACCCGTGTGGTGGAGGCAGGTTGCAACTTTAAAAGGTCAGGGTGGGGCCTCGACAAGAAGGTCACATTTGCGCACGGACTTGCAGGGGTGAGGGAGTTCTTTAAATAAAATTTGAGTGTCTCCCATGTGTCAGGGCACTAAGCACTAGGGATACAGCCATGTGCAGGACGAGCGCAGTCCCTTTCTCCTGGCGCTGACATCTTCTAGAAGCTCCTAGGACAATAGTTCATGTTTTGAAGCAAGTGGAATGAGGCTTGAGAGGATGAGCCAGAGAGCCTACCCACCCCCACCCTAGGCAAGTTGTCCACTTTTTCCCCAGAATGGCGTTGCTTTTCCTTGTGCTTGGCCATGTCCAAGCCATCACTTCCCTGGACAGAGTCTGATGTTGGATTAAGAACCGGCACGAAGGCTCGTAGGATGTTGATGGGGGTGGTGGTGCATGTATTCTGACTGCCCACCCACCCTCACAGCCAGGCTGAGGAGGGAGCCCTATAGGAGGAGTCTCAGGTGTGGTGGGAGGGCCCTCCAGGGCTGTGAGACTGGCTTGCGGCTCCTTAGGATGGATGGTGCGGAGGTGAGGGTGGCAGCTGACCTGGATCTCGCCAGGGAGGGTGAAGTCAGGCTCTGGCTGCTGACCCCAGGTGGTTCCACCCAGGCTGCTGCTGGCCAGTCCCTTTGTCCTGGGAGAAAGGCCTGCACTGAGTGGAGGGTTCTACAGTCAGGTTGAAGCTCAGGGTCCTGGACTCTTACTAACTGCTTGGGCTTGCTAGCTCTTGGAATTGGTTATTTCATAAGTAAGTGTAAGAATTACATGAGATGATGTATGTAAAGTGCTTTTATTACCTAACAACAGCATGACAACAATCCTCTCTTCCCACCCCCTCTCTATCTGTGATCTTTGAGTCCCATCTCCAGAGGTGCTCTGGCAGCCAAGGTTTGGTTGCTAAGCTGCTGGCCAGGGGCCTGCCTAGTGCCTCTGGGAGATTGGGTTTCCCAGGGCAACATGGGTGCTTGCAGAGCAGCTGTGGGCATCTGAGTTGGCATGGACAGAGGTCAGAGGGGTCAGTAGCTGCCCCAGTCGTGTAGAGCCGTGCCCCGCCTCTCTCTCCCCTCGGTATCGGTATTGATCGGTAGGAGGTGCAGGGGCGTACTCACACCCGGTAGATGCAGACTGGAGGCCAAAGCCACACAGGCCTCACACAGGATGTCGGGGAAGGAAGGGCAGCTGCTTCGGTGGCGGCAGGCTGTGGGGAGCACAGGCAGAGGGGAGAGGACAGCTTGGGACTCAACCTCACGCTGCGTGTGCTTCTGGAGATCATGAACACGGGCAGTACCGAGTGTGGCTCCAGGAGCCTTCTCTCCCTTGGGCCTGAGATATCCAGAGTCCTGCTATTGAGTGTCGCCTCTCCCAGCAGATCAGTGGAGCTGCCCAGGATATTGAGGGGCCTTCTGGGTGGCCGGCCCATCCCATACCTCCAGGACAGACGGGCTGGCTCAGCTTGGCCAGTCCTTGGTCTCATTGGGACCAGTTAGCCCAGGCACCCCAAACTGTGCCAGTGTGGGACAAGCAGCCTGGTCTGGAAACCCCCTTCTTCCTGGGGCACAGTGAGATCTGCTGCTTATAGTAGGGGGCCCAAGACAAGCCCACACCCCTGTAGTTCTTCCTTCTCTCACTCCCCTGTCTCCTTACTTACCTGAGACCCACAGGTGAGGCAGGGTCCATGTGTGTTCTAGCCTCAGGGTCTGGGCAGAGGATGAGAAGGAGAGACAGGGTATGAATTTGCCAGCTCTCCTGTTTTTTTCCACGGTGGGCATCAGGGTGTGGGAAGACCAATTCTCACTGGCTGGCAGCAATGTGGGATGATGGGGGCAGTGAGAAGGGAAGGAAATCGCTAGATCACCTGCCCACAGAGAACTTTCAGGCTAGATCCACACGCGAGGCACAGACCTGTGTGGAAAATGAGTTAAGAATCGGCCACAGGTCAGCAAGCCTCATGTGACCCGGCCCTAAACCCTGAGTATCCCACCCCCAAAGGAAACAGAGCAAGGCCCAGCAGGGAGAGCGGCTCAGGGTCTGGTGAGGGACAGAGAGCACGATGGGAAGGAATGGAGACCAAGGCTGGGACAGTCTTGAGGAGTTTGGAGGGTGGAGAAGGTGTTTCTTCTTGGGAAGTCGCCCTCTCCGGGCTCATGTTTCAGCCAGGTGGCTTCCCCGGTGAAGGAAGCGAGGACCCTCAGAGCTCCTTACATCCCCAGTAACTTTGCCTCAGACCCTTTTGGCATCAGACTTGGGGGGCTCCTGAGCCTCTCTCTTCTCCCACACCCCTTGTAGAAGTGGCACTGGAGTGTACAGCACCCGAGAGTTTGCCAGGCCGCTCACAGGCCCTCCTGTTGGAGCTCGTGACAGCCCCACTGATCAGAGCCTACGAAGCAGTTACTGTCCTTTTACCCTGGACCCTGGAGCCCAGAGTCACACAGCTGGCTCCTCTGCCAGTGTACTCCCAGCCTCTGTGCCCCTTTGGTGCCCACAGGGGTGTCCTCTCCCTTATCCAGGTTAACGTGGCTGGAGAGGATCCCAGCCGCCAAGAGAGCGGGAGCCCACTGTGAGCTGAGGGCCACCCTCACACCTGACCACCACCTGGGCCTCACCCCTTCTCCCGCTTGATCCTCTTATCTACTCGGCCTGGGAGGCAGATAACAAAGAAGAAAAATCAGCACTAATTCCTTAAGCCTCCCAGTGAGTTGTGTATGCATGTGAATATTTTTAAGAGATTCTACCCGACTCCCGCATGCCTAGCACACATGCTTCCGTGTCATTAGCCTTCTGCCCTTTTTGTGACTGGAAGCCCTCCATCATGGCGCTGAGCACACTTCCCCTGCCCCCCTGTTGTTGGCCACTTAGGTTCCTTCTGATTTCTCCCAGTGGCCTAATGACCAGCGCAACAAGACCGGGGAGACCATCCTCGGAACCGGATGGGTGCCTGCGTCCACGGCGGTTTTAGGGACCGTTTTAGGTTAAGGTGCTGAGGGGGAGAGAGGGTAGTCAGGATGGGTTGGTTCAGAGGCCAGGGGCGTTTTGGAAGGTGATTTTTGATGTGCTCCTTGAAGGGCAAGAAGGTATTTCAGACAGAAACATGGAGACCACAGTGGATGGGGTCTGGGGTGGGGGCTGAGCAGATGGACCGGCTGACATGCGGGGCCTAACCAAAAGGACATGGTGTGGGGGCGGGGAAGGCAGGCCACATCAGGCCCCTGCCCTGGACTGTCGGTGCTTTCCCAGTGGAGTCAAACTGAAGCTCTTCGCTGTGGCCCCACCAGGGCCCCCCTTCCCGACCCAGCTCATCTCCTTGTCGCCTGCACCCAGCTCCTCCGCTGTCTTCATCCTCCTGTAACACGCCTGCTTGTTGTGTGCATCTGCCTGACACACCCTGCCCGCGTCTTAACGTGGCTGACCACTTCCTATCCCTCAGGTCTGGGTGGAGATAGTACCACCTCCGTTCATTCATTCAGGGTGCACGTGGGACGCTGCGGCAGAACAAGAAGGTCGAAGTCCCCGAGTGAGACTAAGAAAACACATCCTTGTGGAGGGTTGCACGGGTCATAAACAAGATCTGTAAGTAAACTAGGCCACCGCGACCAGTGCTAAGGAGAAAAACAAAGCTGGGAAGTAGGAGAGAGAATGTCAGGGGAGGGACATTTGAGTAGAGATGAGGGAGGGAGGGAGGCATGTGAGTGTCTGCGGGAAAGGCATCCTGGGCAGAGGACACATGGACTGCACGGGCCCAGAACCAGGAATGGTCACCACGTCCTCCCAGCCACCAGCCTGGGCACTCTAGCTCAGCATCTTCCTTTATTCTCTTGCTGGCCCTGACCTCGATCTGAAACCATTCTGCTGACTAATTTGTATGCTTGTGAGTCATCATACTCTCCCCTGCAAGGATGTAAACCTGGTGACATAAGGGATCTTGTCTGTCTGTCACTGTTGTATCCCTAGTCCTAGGTCAGTGCCAGCTCCGTGCCAAGAGCTGTGCCAGGCAGTCGGCATTTGGCATTGTTCCCACCCCTCCCAGCAGACCTGTGCGGGAGGGCGTGTGTCCCCATTACAGATGAGCTCGCTGGGCCTCGAGGAGCTGCCTTGGGAAGGCGCCCAACTTGGAGGAGCCGAGCTGCGGTGGTTGAGCCCTGGCTGTTGGGATTGAGCCCTGGGTTCTTTCCCTTATGTCCCCTCCCCATCCCACTTCCCCAGGAGTAGACTGAGTAGATAGGATCCATTCTACACCAGGAAGCTCCAGGCCTGGGTTCCTGAAGCTTGTCTGCAGAGAACCGCTTGTCTGGGGTGAATGGAGCTGAGGGTCTGCCTGGAGGTGAGTCCAGCCAGTCCCAGACCTGTCCGCCTTCAAGAACGGGTAGTACTTTTTATGCCTTGACCTAAGTAGTTAGCTCTATATTAGGAGCTGCACTGAGGGGTTGAGTGGGGTAAGGAGCTGACGCCGTGGCTGCCACATCCTACTCCTGGCTCCATCCCCCCACGCGAGGGGTTTCCAGCCCCCTGTGCAACAAGCGGCAGGTCCACGCAAGGCCCCCCAGCCTTACCCAGCCAGACCTCGCCAGCACTCCACAAGCAGCAGCCAGGCCCCAGCCCCCAAACTGCTTGGTTGGCTGTGCGCTGAAGGCATGTGGGTGTGAGTTGCACGCACGTGTCTGTGCCTTTTAACTGCAGGGGTGTAATTAGGCATCCCGTCCTGTCCTCGCCATCCTTCGCTGCCTCCCAGAGTCCTTCGATTTGGGAGTTCGCCAGACCTGGGGTCAAATCCGAGTTCTGCTGGTTCTTCCAGTGACCTTGGACACGTGGCCCGGCCTCTGTGGTCCTCTTTTCCTTGTCTGCCAAGTGGGGATATTCCACTCGCCTCCCAGGGAGGCTGGCGGCAGGTGAAGGAACACGGGGTCAGGGTTTAGGTGTGCCCCATTCACAGCACACAGAGTGCCAAGGAAAGGAGCGATCGGGGCGTGTACTGACTCGCCACTGCGCTACCCCTGGGTGGTGGGGTTTAGGGAGGATTTTCTCCTCAAGATTGTTTGCTTTTTCAACAGTGAGCACGGATTACTTGAGCAAAATGTTTAAAAATTAGTAAAAATAGCACGCAAGGGTCTGGTACAGTGCCTAGCAGGCAGCAGGTGTTCCAAGGGGCGTTTGGGTGGATGGCATGCCCACCCTGCCCTCTTGAGTGGGGCTGTCTCCCACCCATCTCCACATCCTGTCTCCCTCCTATCTGCACGCCTCCCCTGGGACTGCCTGTGTGGGGCCTTGGCACAGATGGCCCTGTGCCCTCTCGTCTCGACCCCATGGCCTGCATGGGTCCTGCAGGGCAGAGCCCAGATCAGCCTCCCCTGGGGTCTGCAGACCCCACTCCTCCTCCTGGGTGCCCCTCCCAGCTTCCTCTGACTTCTGACCGCCTGACCTAGGCCTGAGAAGGGAGAGTGAGCACCCCCTGGACTCAGAGTGGCCCATTTATGAGCTGGAGCACCCTCCCCCACAGCTGGGCCCTCCCCCACGGCTGGAATGCTAGGCCACAGCTCAGCTGTTTGTCCAGGAGGCCAGTGTTGCTGCAGGCCCGGAGTCTGTTTTCACTCCCAGTCCCAGGAGCCTCTAGAACTAGCCTGCGTTTGTTCCCTGAATCCGTTTCAGGGCCTGGAGTCAGGTGGGCACCTAGGAGTTTCCCAACTACCTGCTGTTCCGAGGGGAAGTGGGGCTCCCTGCTCTGCCCTGGCTCCCCCCCAAATGTGAAGACACAAACCTCTCATATCCACCACTACGCTTCCACAAGTGGTGGCCTTTTTGCTGTCCCCAGATGGTAATGGTGCTCTGAGGTTTGGTCTCTGCCTGTTCCCAGTTGGGGTGGCATTTGGAATGCTGTGGGATGTGGGGTGACCCATCCCAGCATGGCCAGCCCTCAGTTACACTGCCAGAAGAATCCCCCACCTCTGCCATGCGCATGCCTCAAAGGGAGCCCCCAGTCTTTGATCACACAGGGTCCTTTCATATGCAAAATCCTGGCCTGATGGTTAATTTTTGTCACCTCCCAAGAAGTCAGGGAGGAGAACATCCTTCAGCCCCTAGCTTCATCCTTTCTTCTCTATAGGACACCCGCCCCTCCGGCCTGGGCCTGATGCCCCCCTGTGGCTCCCCAGCAGAGCACTCAGCACCCTGCAAGGTCCTGTTTTTATCTGCCCCTGCCCTAGAGTGGGCTCCTCCAGGGTGGGGACTGGCTCTGCTCTCTTCCCTTTATATATAGTGTTTCCTGGGTGGGCCTGAGTTCCTGTGTTTCCAAGGACAGGCCTTGGTGTCCTTTGGTCAGCCGGAGGCTGAGCTCCTGGAAGCCGGAAGCTGGAGTACAGATGATCCTCCCCCCCTCCCCCAAGGATGATCCAGAAATAGTTTCCCCTCGGATTGGGAAGGCATTCTGCAGTGGGCGGACAATTTGGGGGCCTTGAAAGCTGGCTTCTGTATTGGGAGTAGATTTCTTCTTCTGGTTAGCCTCCACTTGGGCCCATGGGAAAGGGAGCCTTTCTGAACACATCCCCTCAGGTTGGGAAGCCTGGGGCCAGGGCAGCGGCTACAGAGACCCCAGCAGCATAACTGGGTAGACCCAGGTCCACCACGGGTCCCAAATGTGGTGTCGGATGGGCTAGCGCCCTCTGACTGCGTGCTCTGCGTGCTTCCCCCACTCGGGTTCCTGGCAGCTGTGGCTGGTGGGAATAGCCTAAGCTGAGAGTTGCTGACAGCCTTCCCTGAAGTTAGAAGGCAGAGTCGGCCCAGGTATGCCGGCTCCCTGCGAGATTGCTGCTGGGCCCTGGCCTGGAATTGCAGGGCCGCTCCCCTGCCCCCATCTGGGTTCTGGTCTGGGAGCCCAGCTGGATAGCCTTTGCATTCCCACCTCCCAGCCAGCTCTGGAGAGAGGCTTGTGAAGTTTCCCTTTCTGTTTAGTTGGAGTTTTATGGTTTTTCAGAAAACAGGTTAACAATTAAGCTAATTAGCCTCAGGGCCTCTGGCCCTCCTTGTTCCTATAAAGCTCGGCTAAATGTCTTCTTCCCCCAGCTTGTCCCACGGGCTTCATAAGGCCACAGGTGGCCAGGAGCAAGTGTTACCACATTAACCATCCCTGGACCTCCAGGTACGAGGTCCCTGGTCCCTCCAGGAACCATACTCCATGTGTGGAACAGATGGAGCTTGGAGAAGCCGAGGATGGTGGAGCTGGCTTGGCCCAGGGGCAGCCACCTGCTGGGCCTGGGGGAGAGGCCCATGGTAGCCTGGGCTCAGCCATGCTGTCACCGGGTGCCAGGCAGGGTTCTGGGGCAGCGTGTTTGCCTCACCTCGGTACTCAACAGCTCCCGTCTTTCCCCAGAGAGCTGTACACTAAGCAGGATGAGGCGGTTCCTGAGGCCTGGATATGACCCTGCGCGGGAGAGGCTTAAGCGGGACCTCTTCCAGTTTAACAAGGTAAGGGGGTCGTGGGACACACAACCAGGAGTTGATGGTGAGCACGATGTTGTCAACCTCCCCACAGGCTGGGACTCGGGGCACTCAGGTTGCCTTTACCTGGATTAAGGTACTTCCTTGGCACTGCCTGCAGTGCCTTATGGGAACCTGACTTTGGAAATGGGGTCTGGTTAGAGGGCTTTCCTGGGAAAGGGCATTGGGAGGCTCAGGAGTCAGGATTCCTTGTCCCAAGGCTCTCACTGGCTGTATGACCTCTGCAAGCCACTCCACCTTGTCCAGTCTGTTTCCCCACCTGTGAAATGGGGGTAAAACGGTCTGTCCTGTCTGTCTCTCACAGGGTTGTTGAAGAGGGACAGGAGAGGTGAAAGGACATTGAACCCTGTAAGGTGTGATAATGTTCCTGTGATGCCAGGTCCCTTGGGGTAGTGGCCACAGGCCATGGCTCTTCCGTCCCTCCTCAGATTGTCCCCCTAGGAAAACACAGCTTTCCCTGTAGGCAGAACACATGGTTCCTTCTGGCAGGCTCCAGGCCCGGGTGAGTGGGGAGAGGCACCTGGGAGAAGGGGCCAGGGTTGGCATTAGACTACTCCAACCCCACACCTGCTCCTAAGGCTCCCAACGCCTGAGTGACCTGTCACCCGAGATCACAGGGAGGGTCCCAGAAACTCCCGAGGGGGCTGGCGCCTGAGAAGGGCAGAGCTGGCCTGTAAACAGTAGGAGAGTGGCGTGGTTTGCGGCCACCTAGCAATCTGCAGCCATTTCGGGGTAATTAGCTTCTCTCACTTCTGCTTTGATCTAGGCCCTTGGCCTATGTACCCAAGCTTCGCTCTGCCCCAGAATGTGGACTACAGGAAGGGGAGCACCCGGGGTCCCTCCCAAATCCAGCTTCACCACTTAAAGCTGGGAAACCCTGTGCTCTTCGCCCCACCGCATAGACTTGTGACAAGGATTACATGGAGTTAGATCACTTAAGTGCTAGACACGGTGGTCTAGGAACTTTAGCTGCTGTTTTCAGAGGCATCCTCCGGAGCGAGAGAGCTCCCAGGGGCTCGTTCGAGGTGGATGGGGTCCCAACGTGCCCTGCCATCTTCCTCTGACTTCCTTGACCTGTGGGAGGTGTTGCTGCCCCAGAACTCTGCTGTGAGGCCACTGGCCTCTGAGGTCAGGCTTCTCCAAATGAGTGTCTCCTCCCATTGGCAGAAAGAAGCTGTGGGCAGGGCTTCTGGGCCTTGGAAAATGGGGTACAGGTGTTGAGAATGGAAAAATCTTAGGGCCTCTGGGTAGCAGCCCATGGCTGCCATCTCAGAACCTCAGCACCTACCTACGGGGGGTCCCGGGTGATCCCCATGTGCCTCCATTGCCCCTGGTGATGTCAGATCTCACACCCTGAAAAGGTGGCCAATTTCAGTGGAAACCGGACAAACAGGCTTAGCAAGGAGGGACGAACCCCCGTCCCAAGTTCCACTGTTCAGTGGGGTGAGACTGGGGTGCGACTGGGGTGGAGGAATCTTTCCCGCCATGCCTCACAACTGGTGGTCCCCACATTTGGCCACCCCACCCCCAGACCTGTAAGGGAGGGGGTGGGGCGGCCCCTGGAATTCCTTCCTCTTTCCGTTCACTTGAAGGAAACTTGCATTGAGTAGGTACTGTATGTACTGCCCAGGGCTGGGGCTGTGGGGATCTCAGATGATAAGACCTTTGCCCTCCATGGCTTTCATAGTCTGGTGGGAGGGAGGGGCTGAGGGGCTGAAATTCCACTTCTTGGGAGTGGAGAGTCTTATGGGGTGGGGGTGATCAGTCTCATCTAGGCTCTGGGTGAATGGTGGAGCCTGAAGGGTTGGGATTGGAGGGTAAAGCCAGATCCTAGAAGATTTGGGAACCTGGGTGGTCCCACCCACACTAGCCCCTCCTCAGGCTTCTCCCAGGCCTTGAGGCTAGGACCTCCCCTGACACACCAGAGCCATGGTGGGTTTTGAGCAGGGGAGTGAATGACCTAATTTGCAATTTAGAAAAAAACTCTGGGGTCCTTTTTCCCTGAAAGGAGACCCATTGCAATGACTAGATGGAGCCCAGGCAGTGGGGGTGGGGCACGGGGCACGAATAGACCAGGGTTTCTCAGCCTCAGCTCTGTTGACATTTGAGGCTGGCTGTGTGGTGAGAACACTGAGCAGCATGCCTGGCCCCACCTCCCCAAGATGTATAACCAAAAAAATCTCTAGACATTGCCCAGTGCCCTCTGGCAGGTAGATTAGTTCCTGGTTGAGGACCACTGCATTAGAGAATGGTTTAGGGCCTGAGATGGAGGGACAGGTGATGGTGGGAGTATAAGAATGAAGGGGACAGGGAAGGGAGGTGGGTGTCCGGATGACTGTGAGGTCTCCGTCCTGGGTGGATAATGGTGCCAAGCACTGGAATGGGGAGCCCAGGAGGGGCAAGGGGCAGGTTTCAGGGAAAGTGATACGTTTGATTTGCACAGAGTAGCAACAATGATCTCCATTTACCAAGAGGCGGTTTCCCCCACAGTTAGTGATACCAACCCCAGAACCTGTCTGCCTGAGTTCACCAGCTGGGTGACCTTGGGCAAGTCACATATCTCTAAAATGGAGATGATGGAAGCTACCCCATAGAGTTGGTGCAAGGATTAAATTAGTGTATAAATTGAAGGGCCATCCAAGCATGGCTAGTGTCTACAGTGTCAGCCAGCTTGGGTTTGTAGACATTATCTGGCTTGAGATTGAGTTTAGGGATTCTTGGGACCCTCAGGTAAGGGAGGGTCCTAGCAGACAGTGGGAAATACAGAGCTGCAGCTCTCACCCTCGGGGGGCCTGCAGTTATTTGCACAGGAGGAAAGGGTGAGCCCTTTGGAGCGTGCCCACATCTGGTGGTGCAAGCAGAGTCCAGACCAGACTGGTGACTGGTCACGTCTCCCAAGAGCTCCATCCTGGAAGCGCCAGTGTGCAGGGCACTCTGCTGGGGTGGGGGATTGGGACAGTGGCACCATCATACGCCTGTCCCAAGCAGCTTCCAGACGACAGCTTCTAAACCTGTGCTGGGCTTCTCCCTCCAGCACCTTCTGGCCAAACCTCCATGCCAAGCAAGGAGGCCCCAGAGAGCAGCATGTCCTGTTTCTTTGGCTTCGGTACCTGGGAAGGAGCTGTGTGTCTGTGGACAGATCCTCTGAACCCTCTGCTGGAGACTGGCTGCCAGAAGGGCAGCTCCAGTTCACCAGGGGCTCTGTGCCCAGCAGCAGAGGGGCCAGACAGTGCAGTGCTTAGGGACTCTGGAGTGTAGGTGCCAACTGTGCCACATCCTCACCGAGTGACTATAGACTGTTACTTAACTTCTCAACTCCTTCGTTCCCCCCTCATCTGTAAAGTGGGCACCATAATAGTCTATATCCAGGTTGGTGTTCTAAGTAAGTTAAACCGTTCAAATGGTACCTGGCACGTGGTTGGTGCTGTACTCAGATGGGTGGTGTTCCCATTCTGCAGGTGAGGAAACTGAGGCCTCCAGGGCTCTCACCTCCTGAGCACATTGTGGAGGTCACTGACTGGGAACGAAGGCCCCTGGTTCCGTCTGCCAACCAGCTGTGTGGTCCGAAGGTGGCGACTTCACCTCCTGAGCCTCAGTTTCTTTGCCTGTGAAGCATTCGTCTGTGGTGTGTGGTAGGCCCTCAGGATGTCGGGAAGACCGACAAGTCAGCTGGCAGTGCCAACAGGGCCAACTAAGGACCAAACAAGAGGACTGTGGGACCCATTGGAAACCTCAGTAGAGAGGAAGTGGCTCCAGGCGGCCTTAAGCTCATGTCAGAGTAAAAACCCCTTCCTTGAAAATCCCTTGAGGCCTCTCCCCGCCTGGTGAAACCGACCAGCCGGTTGATAAGGGTACCTGGGCCCTTCCTGCCTGGGTCCGTCCACCCCCAGGCCCTGAACAAACAGTGTGTTCCTGACCGACCGCCCCTGTCCAGGGCCGGGTTGTTTTGTCTTGGCTTTTTGATAGCTAGGCTCCTGGTATCAGGTGACAGCCACATAGGGAGGGCCAGGTTTCTGCCACCGCCAGGAATCTAAGCTGACCACACCCAGTATGGAGCAGTGCCACCCAGCCAGCTGGGCGTGCCCCCTGTGGCCCTGAGCAGCCCTCCTTCCCGACCCCCGACAAGTGCTGGGGACTCCTCAACCCTCAGTCTTGGACGGGTCCCCCCTTGCTAAGGACAGGATGAAGGGCCTCCATGCTCTCTGACAAACAGCTTTTGCTCTTTCCCTTCTGGGAGCCCGAAATGGGGTCCTGGAGCCAGCTTGAGACAGACAGACAGGGCTTTCTCTCCCACCCCAGGCTAATGTTGCACTTTGGCGACTCCTACAAACCTCTCCTTTCCCAACTCCCTGTCAAAAGGGTTCATTGTTCTCTCCTCCCTTGGCAGAGGTCACCTGAGCCAGTAGCAAGGTGGGGGCAGGGCCAGGTAGGCTGGATGCTGAGCTCAGGGAAGGATGGCTGCCAGGCATTGGTCAACCTCCCAGCTTGAACCTGAGCTGGTGAGGCCGGGGTCTCAAGCTGGGAGGGCCATCCCCGGGATCCGTGCCTGCTGTCCCAGGCTGAGCCCTGCCCCACCATCTGCCCTGGGTTGCTATGGGCCTTGGAGGTGGAATAGCAGGCCCCCCCTGAGGCTGAGTCATGCCTGCTGTGCCCTCGCTGTGCCTTCTGTAAGGGAGGCCATACACCCTCCCTGCTCTAGGGGCCTCTAGAAGCCTGGAGGGGAGGTCGCTGTCCACGTGGGCCTTGTGCTCTAGGGGGGGAGCTGAGTCTTAAAAGGCTGTTAGGAGTTGTGGGGAGGGACAGCCAAGGGGTGGGAGGGGTGCCTGAAGTGGAGGGGACAGCTGGAGCACAGGCCAGAGGTGCCTTGAGGAACCCTCCCGCTTCTGCAGGCTGTTCCTGCCCTGGGTTTCTCGCTCCTCCTTGTCCCCTTAATTAACTGACCTCAGTCCCCTCCCCAGATCCAAGTCCCTTCCTTCCTCATTCCCAACAAGATCCCCTGGGCCTCTGCAGAGATCTCCAGGTCTCTGCATTCAGGACTGGCTTTGCCTCATCATGTTCTACTCTAATTGCCTCATTCGGGGATTCGTGGGCCCTACTTGAATATTGAATTGGCAGTCACCCCTCCTCCCCTTTCTGGACCTGGGGAAACCCCCTGTCATCACACTATATGCACTTGAGCCCACTCTCTTGGCCCCTGGCCAGATAAGGTCATTGTGAAATCCCCCCCTCATTTTGTTCTTGAGGGAGCCTTGGTCTCTCCAGAGTTGTCAACTTGGAGAAGACGTCCCAAGGGATACAGGGAATGATGGAGAACCTTAGAAGGAAGCCAGGCCTTAGGGGGCTAGGCCTGTGTGCTCTGTGGGATGAGCTGAGCCTTCCAGCCACTGTCAGGTGATCTTAAGGTTCATCACGTTGGAGCCAAGGACAGCCTTGCTTAATCCAGCCATTGGTATTGCCCCGTTCATCAGATGTGAAGTGGCGCTCACGGAGGCCAAATGGTTCGTCTAGCAGACGCCTTCCATGCAGTAGAGGGGGATTCTAAGCTTAGGAAGCCTGACTCAGCCCCTGCTCTTTCTAGCTTATGGAAAAGAAGGTAGTGGGGGAAGAGGGTTATCACTTTGTGAGGGGTGAAATGTGTAACTAGTACATTGTTTTGTACACCTGAAACTAATTAAAAAAAAAAAAAAGATAGGGAGGGGTGGCACAGTGTCCCCAGGATCCTGAAGAAAATGAGGAATGAGTGGGAGGGATTGAATGATGGATCTGACCTTGGTCTCCCTCTGGGTTAGGGGAAATTGGCCAACCAGCAGCAGGAGTGACTCAGGTGACTCAGGGATGTTAGGAGAACTTCCTGCCAGGGAGTTAATAGAATAGTGTGTGGCCTGAGAGCCTGAGTGAAAGCTGCAGACCGTTTTCTCTTTGATCCCGCTTTCCAGAAGGAATCTAATAAGAGCCACAAATGTAATTTAAAATGGTGTAGGGCCGGCCAAGTGACGCGTTGGTTAGGAGTTGGCTTGGGACGCCAGCTCTGAGCAGCAGGGCCCCGGTTCGGATCCCACATGAGGGCCAGTGATGCTGCGCCCTCTACAGCTAAGATGGTGAACAACAGCTTGACCTGGAGCTGGGCTGCCATGAGTAGCCAGCGACAGCATAGGCTGCAATGGGGCTGGCCGGCAGCGGGCATGAGCTTTCATGAGCTGCCGTGAGCCGCTGTGAGCGGCTGTCCAATGGCTGGCGAGCAACTGCCTCACCCAGGAAGAGCGCAATGATAATACCAACATGGACCAGTGAAGCAACGTCCTTCACAACTACACTGAAGAACAAAAGGACAGAAACTTGTCTGTTCCCCTTCCCCGATTCCCCAACACTGTTCCCCTCCCCCAATTCCCCAATTTAAAAAGGGGGGGGGGTAAAAATTGTAAAAAATAAATAAATAAAATGTTCTAGAAGTAGCATTACAAACTTTTTTTTTTTAAGATTTTATTGGGGAATTGGGGGAGGGGAACAGTGCTGGGGAATCGGGGGAGGGAAACAGACAAGTTGCTGTCCTTTTGTTCTTCAGTCTAGTGGAAGACATTGCTTCACTGGCCCATGTTGGTATTATCATTGCGCTCTTCCCGGGTGAGGCAAATCGGCCACCGGCCTCTGGACGGTCGCTCAGGGCGGCTCTTCGCAGCTCACACCGGCTGCCGGCTGCTCACGCTGGCTGCCAGCCACACACGGTAGCTTATGGCAGCCCACTGCAGCAGGGGCTGCAGCTTATGCCGTTGCCAGCTACCCATGGCAGCCCAGCTCCAGGTCGAGCTGCTGTTCACCATCTTAGCTGTAGAGGGCAGTGTCACTGGCCCTCATGTGGGATCCGAACCGGGGCCCTGCTGCTCAGAGCTGGCGCCCCAAGCCAGCTCTTAACCAACGCGTCACTCGGCTGGCCCTACAAACTTTTTTAAACAAGTGAAATGAATTTTGATAATAAATTCTGTTTAACCCAATATATTCCAAAATACTGTTTCAACATATAGTCAATATAAATTAATGCAGCTTTTTTAGTTTTTTTATATCTTTTTATATTTTATATAGTCTTTGAAATTACAGCACATCTCAATTTGGACATTAAATTTTCTTTGGAAATACGTGATCTGTATTTAGAATTCGGAAGATTTTTACTTGGGAAAAGGTTCGAAGCTTGGTTTACGTGACTCCAACCCTGATTCTTTGGAACCCAAAAACATATCTAAAAAGTTTTCTAATAACTGAAGTGAACATATGTTCTTAAATTTAAGTTAATTGCAGTGGAATTCAGTCCCTTGGTGGCACTAGCCACATTGCAAATGCTCTGTATCTACACACGGCGGGTGGCTACTGTACCAGGAAATAGGATATGGGCCTTCTGCCCAGTCCTCCAAATTCCAGAGGCTTTGGCCCTGAGCTGCTGCTGCTGGTGATTCTAGGAAAATGCCACTGTCTGAACTTCTCCCGTGCTCTGGCTGCCAACTTCCTAAGGCCCCAGCAACTTGGGGCTTGCCGAGGCCTAGCAGTGGCCCCTAGGGAATCTTGTCCCACACACCTCATCACGTGCCCTGCCCTCCTTTTCCTGGGAAATGTTTACATTCCAGACACTCTGCTATCTCCCCAAAGCTTTTCCAGGCCCTGCATTTTTCACATAGCTGAACAGGGACCTGGGCTGGCAGCGGGGGCTCCTGCTGGGTCACTTCTGCCCTCTCAGCGGTCCCTCCCAGGTACAGCCATTTGCAAGGCCTGAGGGGGCTCCCCACCTAGGCATCCCCAGACCTCCCTAGAATAGGCACTTTGGGAGCTCTCCTCCATGGCCTGACCCCAGCATGCGGCTTCCATCCAGAAGCCACTGGACTGGACCGGACAAGCAGGCAGGCAGCAGTTGAGTTTGCTAAGTTATCATCCCAGCTGTCACCAGGACTTATCTCTTTCTGCTCCCTTGGGGCCTCACAGGACATTTAGGTGAAGCCCAGAGGAGAGCCCTGGGCCTAAGGAGGGCTACCTCTCCTTTTTCTACGGGATAGCCTCCACAGTTTAGGAACGAAGAGATAGATTGTTTTAAAAAGGCTTTAAAGCGGCTGGCTGGCCTCCTTTTCCCTGCTGTAATCTAGTTCTACAGGTTCAGTATCCCCTGGGCTGGGAGGTGAGGGGTAGGGTTAGCTGATTAAGAAGCAGCCAAAACCCTTCCTGAAGGTGGATTGTTGATCTAAATCTGTATTGTTTATATCCGTGTCTTTTAAACCTATAACCCCATCCCGGGGACATCTGCCTGAGGAAGTACTCAGAGTTACAGGAAAGATGGGAGTCCAAGAGTTGTCCCCAAAGCAAGTGGCAATTGCAAAACCTCCTGAAGCAAAGAAAATGTTCAACGACAGAGGCCTGATGTGTTAGGACACCTCCACAGGGAATGTTCTTCAGCCATTGAAGAGTCGTGTTAGTGCTTTTAACAACCTGGGTTGGCTGTAGGTGGGAGAGTAAGCTACAGAGCTACCATGTATACGTGTGCCATGTGGCGTGATTCCAGTTAGGTCTCTGTGTTTTAAGCACAGACACACACATGCATACACTCACAGGCATAGGGAAGAGACACACTCCGAGATGTTAGCAAGGGTTACTCCTGGTTGTGGGAATATGGGGGATTTTCTTTTCTTTTTCAAGGTCCTTTGTGTGTTCCAACTTTTCTGTAATGTGTATTACTTCTGTAAGAAATGAGCAAAAGCATGTGTCTGCGACAACACTCCAGAAACTTCCTCTCAGGGAAGATGGAGGAGAACTCACAGTGATGGGAAGGCCATGCAGAGAGCAAATGTTCAGGGCTGGAGGAGCCTGGATGGCCCAGAGCCGGGAAAGGCTGCTGTGGGTTCCATCAGACCGCAGGGGCCAGCCCCCCAAAGCTTCCTGCACCCCCGCAGGAGGCTTGGGTCGGTTACCCACAGTCTGCATGGTGGAGGAGCCGAGTCAGAGTCCCTGGAGAGCGGGTGGCCAGGGTTGGTCTGGGGAGCGTGGGCTCCCAGGGATGGATGGCCAGGTGGCCAAGCACAAGGTCAGCAGTGACTGCGGGTGGGGCCCACATGGGCCTGGGATTGGCTGCACACTTGGGTATCTGGGTAGGAGCCTGAAGGGGACTGAACACCTCCCTCCTGCTGGGGGAGGCTGTGTGCTGTGGCTTCTCCATCCGGCACTGCCCGCCCCCCAAGCCGGAGGGCAAGGGGACATGTCTGCAGGCCCGCGTGGTTCTCATTGCAGACAGTAGAGCACGGCTTCCCGCACCAGCCCAGCGCCCTCGGCTACAGCCCCTCTCTGCGCATCCTGGCCATCGGCACCCGCTCCGGAGCTGTCAAGCTGTATCCTTTCTGTTCTCCCAGCTCCCACCCAGGGAGGCCCTGGAAGGGGCAGGGACCTTGGCATTGGTGAGATTCGGGAAGGACCCGCACCCTCCAAAAAAAAATAGTAATGATTCTTCTTATTCCCAGCATGTTCCAAATAGCCTCTCAGGGGTCAGCCTTGAATGCAGTAAGGGGAGGCAGGTGGTAGGCCAAGAAGCTTTTTTTTTTTTTTTTATTAACCTTTTTCCCAGTAAGAGTCAGTGGACTGTCCCCAGGCTCTGTCTAAACCAGAGACAGGGTGGCCTTGGGTTGAGGCGCAGCGTGAGGGAGCTGCTCTTCCAGAGTCAGCCTCTACCATGCATATACCCTGCACGTCCTCGTGTACACACAGACATCAGAGGGTAGAGTGGGCTCCTGCTTGGCGGGCACAGGCCTTCTTTGGCCGAGGCTGGACATTGTCCGGTTAGGTCGTCTTTTACCAGAGCATTGGCTCTGGGCTGACCTGGGCCCCAGGCCTTTTCTCAGGCAAGCCCACAGGTTCCAAGATGGAGTCCTGGGCTACGCTCCAAGTCTTGGGGCACTCCTGCCCGATCTGACCTGAGCCCCAGGGGTGAGCCAGGATGGGACCTAGAGGAATTGGGAGGTGGGGGAACCACCCATGGAGAACCCAGCTGGCCCCTCCAGTGAAGCTGTAACCCCCTCTACTGCACAGGTGGGGAGGCTGAGCTGGGCTGGAGGTGGTGTGAACACAGGAGGGCAGAGGCCCAGGTCTCACATTCGGCCCAGCCCGCCCTCAGCTGGTTAATCATTCGCAGTCCATGGCCATGTCCTGGTTACCAAGATTCATGGCCAGGGCTGCTAGGGGTGGGCCCACAGAGGGCCCTGTGTTCTCTCACAGGTGCCACCAAGTGGTAGCTGATGGGTCTGTTGCAGCTCAGGTTTTGGGGTGGGGCTGGGGGTGGCAGTGAGCAGCCTAATGGTTGCCAAAGTTTCACCCTTCTACAGCGTCATTCCCACCTGCCTGGCTATGAAAGCTCTACCTGGTTGGCTGTTTTCACCCTCAGGGCTCAGGTCACTGGCCAAGGCCCTCGGGCCAGGGCCACTCTGCCTCCACCCCAAGCCCCAGTCCCGCTGTCTGGAAAGAGGGTGAGCCCTCTGCCACTGAGTGTTTACACTCTTGACCGCTGGGCCCAGAGGTGGGACCCAGAGGTGCCGATGCTCGGGCAGGCGGGGTGGTATTCTGCCTTCCGGAGCTTTTCCTGAGCCTGTTACTCCTAGCTATGGCGCCCCAGGGGTGGAGTTCATGGGGCTCCACCGGGAGAACAACGCCGTGGTACAGATCTACTTCCTGCCTGGCCAGGTGAGGAGCCCCCCCATGACCTTCGTATGTCTTCCAGAAGTAGTGTGTGGAGAGGCAGGCATTTGGTGACCCTGGGTTTGGTGCTGATGGGAGGACCTGGGACCACCTCCCTTTCCCAGCTGCAGTTCATGGGCTACACTCAGAGTAGCTGGGGGCCTTTGGTTCTGGGGCTCTCTGAGACCACCCCGATGTATGGACCACAGTGAATGCTGGCCCGCCCTGGTCAATGAGACAGTCTATTCCCGCCCCCATTTCCTCCCTAGTGCCAGCTGATCACCCTGCTGGATGACAACAGCCTGCACCTATGGAGCTTGAAGGTCAAAGGCGGGGTGTCAGAGCTGCAGGAAGAAGAGAGTTTCACGCTGCGTGGCCCCCCAGGGTAAGAATGTGGTCCCATCACTCTCCCAGCCAGCCTGACCCGTGCACCCAACCCCAGGTTGGGATCACCTTTGGAAGGTCCTGTAGCGCCCTTGGCAGTCCGGGCAGGTGTTTGAGACAATATGTCTCCACCTGTATATGCTCTGGGCGGAATGGGTGAGACTTCGGCCTGCCTCCCTCCATCCCCTCACAGTGTCTGTGCAGGAGGCTCTGAGGGGGTTCCCCTGCCTCTTAGTTCAAGCTCACTGCCATCTGTCTCCTGTCTTGGCAGAACATAACCAATATGTTTGTCCTGGCCTGAGATTCCATGGACCCTGTTAAAGGATCTTACAGGCCTGCTTTCCCTAGGCATGGCCTGCCCCAGGGCCAGTGAGGGAACCCCGGAGTTGGGGAGCCTACTCAGGGGGAGTCCCCTGCCTGGGCAGCAGCCAGCTCATGGGTGGCCGTTTTCATCTGCAGGGCTGCCCCCAGTGCTACACAGATCACCGTGGTCCTGCCACATTCCTCCCGTGAGCTGCTTTACCTTGGCACCGAGAGTGGCACCGTGTTTGTGGTCCAAGTACCAGCCTTCCGCACGCTGGAGGACCAGACCATCAGCTCGGATGCCGTATTGCAGCGGTGAGCCCGCAGCCCCTCTTGGTGTTAGGAACCTGTCCCCTCGTGTTGGGCATGGCTTCTCCGGTAATGTCTCAGGAGCTAATAATCTCTTTCCTGGGAAGTCTATAGGGATGGGAAGATAGACTCAGCTCCCCATCTGTCCCTCAAATTAAGAATCTCACCCCACAGTATATTACCATCATAGCGCTAAGAGGAGTCTTGCAGTTAACTTGTCGCTTCATTCAGAGATAAGGCAGGTGGGGCTCAAAATGATACGTAGCATCACCAATTCTTAGTCCAGCATTCTTTGCCCTGACACCATATATTTCAAAACCCCGGGGGCTCTGCAGTGTGACAGAGGGGGCCCCAAACCACCCTGCTTCAGCTGGGCAGCTTCTGCTGATGTTTGTGCTTTACAGTCTGTGCTGGGTTTTCGTTTGCACACAGGCTCCATAGCTGACAGCCCTCAATAGCCACAACCCTGTAGATTTCTGCAGCTCATTTTGGAAACTTTGCCCCTTGGCAGTGGTGTCTACCAGAGGAGGGAGTCAGATCGGTCAGATCAAGTCTGGGTCAAAAGGGAGGAGATGAAGGGGTTGGTAGCGATAGCATATTCTGCAGGGAGGAGCCGGGAGGCTGGGGTGCTGGGGCGCTTGCAAAGGGACGGTCTGGAGGATGGTCTCCATCAGTCCTGCCGCACGTCTTCTTTTTGATGTTCTTCCTGATGCTTCTCTGTATTTTCCAAAATGGTGTAATTCTCGCATTGTTTACTTTCAATTTAAGAGAAATGTACTTTTTAAATTATGTAAGTGATAGATTCATTATAGACTCATTCAAATACTGAAGCTTTACAGATAAGGCTAACGGCCTCTTTGACCTCCCGTTCCCAATTCTAATTCTGCCTCCAGAGAGGCGGTGCTAATACTGTATGGTGTGCTCTGTTGGTGTGTGGGGATGTACGTAAACACAGAGGGCGTCGGTTAGGTTTGGGCATAGACTTGCCCTCGGGGTCCAGGCTCTTTCCATTTCCTACTCACCGTCCTAAGTGTTGGCGCTGGGTCCCATGCTGCCACCTCATGGTCTTCTGTTGGCTGCAGCACCTCCACACATCACATCAGCATTCCAGGCCCAGAGAAGGAGAAGGAGAAGGAGAAGGAAAGGGAGCGGGAGAGGGCCAAGGCTCAAGACCAGGCCAACTAATATACAGCTTTGTTTTGCGGGTCTTAAAAACTTGTTTTTATGAAATACCACCTCCTTACAAAAATGCACTAGATATGAATATAAAGTTTAAAGGATTCTTGTAAAGTGAACATCCCTGTAGCCTCCCCTCAGCAAAGAAATAGAACTTGCCAGCCTCCCAGGAGCCCCCATGGACCCTTCCCAGTCACCACTCCCCCCCTCCCTGCCAGGTCACCACCACACCGACTTCTCTGGGCATCACACCCTTGTCTTTCCTCCTAGTTGCGCCCACCTGCATTTGCATCCTTGTGGGGTTTCTAAGCATCACTGTCTTGTTCTACACATTGCTTCTCCCTCCTCTTGACGAGGTGTCCTAGTGGTCTTTCTGTGCTGGCACGTTCAGAGCCCACTGCCAGGCGGAATGCCATGTGCGGCTCTGCCTGCTGTTGGCTAAGGCCCATGGGCGGACATCAGTGTGGGCTCACAGTGTCCCCCTCGCCAAGGTTGCCAGAGGAGGCCCGCCAGCGGCGCGTGTTCGAGATGGTGGAGGCCCTGCAGGAGCACCCTCGGGACCCCAACCAGGTCCTCATCGGCTACAGCCGGGGTCTCATCGTCATCTGGGACCTGCGGGGCAGCCGCGTGCTCAGCTATTTCCTCAGCAGCCAGGTGGGTGGTGCCAGGCGCCACAGGGCTCTCCCAGACCCTGCAAGTCACATCCAGCCCCCGTGCCTAGGTGTGGGGGGTGGGCCATGGGACCACCGCCCTGATCCCAGTCCATTCTCTCTCCCCCTCCTCCCGTGAAGCAATTGGAGAACGTCTGCTGGCAGCGGGATGGCCGTCTGATTGTCAGCTGCCATTCGGATGGCAGCTATTACCAGTGGCCTGTGTCCACTGACACCCAGAGACTGGAGCCCTTGCGCAGCTGCGAGCCTTACGGTCAGTGCTCCACCTGCCTGGCAGGGGCCTGACCCTGCCCTGTCACCTGGGACTGCCTTTCAGTGTACAAAGCAACCCTCTCTGTTCTCAGTCAGTCTTTCCTGCATTCGGGTATAGGTGCCCAACTCAGAAGCAAAACCTGGGGGCCAGAGAAGGGAAGGCTTTGTCCAAAGCCACAGAGCAGGTTTGCTGATGCCCGTTGTGGCTTTCTCAGGGAACTGCTCAGAGAAAGACCTCCTAAGCATAGGCCTACTGAGTGGGTGTGGGATGGGGAACCGGTGCCTGTGCAGACCCATGTGCCTAAGGGTAGGAGGACCTGCTCCAGCTAATTTCTTTTCTTGTAGGTCCCTTTCCTTGCAAAGCTATTACCAAAATCTCCTGGCTGACCACCAAGCAGGGGTAGGTACTAGCGCTCTGTTCTTTGCTCTTTCCAGAGCCTTCCTGGACACCCGGTAAGGCTTTTCAGGCCTCTGCAGGGGAGGGGCGGGAAGGTCCTAGTGAGCCCCTTGGGGTCCCATGGCGGGGTCTCGGACTCCAGGGAAGGGAGAGAGGGCCATTCATACCTCTCGTGGCTAATTCCTGAAACAACATTCCCCGTCTTTCCCTTTCAACCTCCCAGAGTTGATTCAGATCATCACCTCTCAGACTGTTTTTAGCAGCAGACCCGTTTCTTCAAACAGAATCCTACAGAAAGGGGGGCCACTCTGGTTAAAACAGAAGTGGCTACAAAGACTCAGAACCCACAGCCTGCATTTCCCCACCTCACCCCCAAGCTCTCATGTGCTGTTGCAGTCAGGAAGAGATGGGGGTCTGCCCCACCCCTCCTGGGGACTTTGAGTGGGCACTTACCCTGAAACCAACCTCCCTCCCAGCCCCTGTCCAGAGGCCAGTCACAGGGAAGTCCAAGCTGCCAGCTCGGCCTGTGGCTGCCTGGGGTGACGTCAGGAGCCCCAGCCCAGCCCCCTACTCTTCTGTGCCTGCCAGGTTGCCCTTCACCATCTTCCAGGGTGGCATGCCCCGGGCCAGCTATGGGGACCGCCATTGCATCTCCGTGGTCCACAATGGCCAGCAGACAGCCTTTGACTTCACATCCCGGATCATCGACTTTACTGTCCTCACCGAGGTGGACCCTGCAGCAGGTAGGCGCGCTTCGGGAGTGACATGGAAGACTAGCCGCTGGGAGGTAGAGGAACGTTGGCTGGTCCATAGATAGAGAGGAGGAGCCTCCGCAGCCATTCCCAAACCTGCCACTCCCTGATCCCTAGTGTACCCCTTCTTAGTACCACTGAGCCCCATCTGTCCTCTTCCCCTCTTTGCCCACCTGTGGTTCCATCTTTGCTGCCACACCTCCTGTCCACCCCACGTGGTTTTTGCCCTTCCCTGGCTCAGGTGGGACTTGGCCCAAGGGGGGCAGATATGTACTGTTGGGTTTAACACCCACCCAACTGAGGAAAAGGGGTCCTGGCTTGGATATGGTAAAGCCCTCGCGGGTTGGAGCAGGAAATGCAGTGTGGAGGCAGCTGTGAAACAGCCTCCTGGAGCTTGGCCAGAACAGCAAAGCCCTGAGTCAGCCTTATAAATCGGGTAACAGGCAAGACCAGAAAGGGACGGTGTCGAAACCTGGAAAGGAGGCCTGGCAGGAGCGCTCCAGGAGGGCGGGCCTCCTCTCCACACAACTCTGATCTGACAAGGCCCAAAGCCTCCAGGTGAGGGGCACGGGCCTGCTCAGGATATCCTGGGCTGTATTCTCCCGCCCTCACCACCACAAGGCCATTGGGAAGGAGACTCCAAACTTGGTTTTGCTTATTTCTCAGCCACTTCCCTTCTCATATGTAACACCGGGTACTAGGAGCAGGGTCCAGTTTTTTTATTGATTCTTTTGGATTTTCTACATAGATGATCATGTCATCTGTGAGCAAAGACAGTTTTATTTCTTCCACCCTAATCTGCATACCTTGTATTTTTTTTTCTTGTCTTATTGCATTAGCTAGTACTAGAAAAGGAGCGGTGAGCAGGGACACCTTGTTTCTGATCTTAGTGGGAAAGCTTCGAGTTTCTCACCATTAAGCATGATGTTAACTGCTTTTCGTAGATATTCTTTATCAAGCTAGGGACACTTCCCTCTATGCCTAGTTTACTGAGAGTATTTATCATAAGTGGGTGTTGGATTTCGTCAAATACTTTTTCTACATCTATTGATATGATCATGTGGATTTTCTTTTTCAGCCTGTTGATGTAATGGATTATATTAATTAGTTTTCAAATGTTGAGGCAGCCTTGCACACCTGGGATAAATCCCACTTGGTCATGGCATATAATTCTTTTTTATACATTGTTGGATTTGGAGATTGTTTATAAAATGCAAATTCCCTGGATCTAACTCTAGAGCATTATATTCCACAGGGCCAGGCTGGGGCAAACTGCTTCCTCCTGGTTCCTGCAGCCCCTGATCCTTGGCCTGTCCCCCCAGCCTTTGATGACCCCTATGCCCTGGTGGTACTGGCTGAGGAGGAGCTGGTGGTGATTGACCTGCAGACAGCAGGTTGGCCGCCAGTGCAGCCTCCCTACCTGGCCTCCCTGCACTGCTCCGCCATCACCTGCTCCCACCATGTCTCCAACATCCCCCTGAAGCTGTGGGAGAGGATCATTGCTGCGGGCAGCCGGCAGAACACACACTCCTCCACCATGGTAGGTCCAGCACTAACCCCAGCCCCACCTTGGGGCCAAGCTCTTCCCATGGACTTCCTGGCCTCATTTTCTAGGAGTGGCCCATTAATGGTGGCACCAGCCTGGCCCCCGCCCCGCCCCAGAGGGACCTGCTGCTCACGGGGTAGGTGATGGCACACTCCTCCTGCGTAGTGGGATATGTGGGGTGGGAGCAGAGCCCGGAGGGGTGTGTGCCGGTTCCGAGCACCGCTGGCCCGGCATCCTCCTCACGGCCACAGGCGGGCTCTGCCCACAGGCATGAGGATGGCACAGTGCGGTTCTGGGACGCCTCAGGTGTGTGCTTGCGGCTGCTCTACAAGCTCAGCACGGTCCAGGTGTTCATCACCGACACAGACCCCAACGAGAATCTCAATGCCCAGGGCGAGGACGAGTGGCCCCCGCTCCGCAAGGTGAGGCCAGGAGCCAGGAACCGGGACGGCGGGGACAGGTTGGGTCCTGTGCTTACGGCTACTCATGGGCCTCCTCTCCCTGTCAGGTGGGCTCCTTCGACCCTTACAGTGACGATCCTCGGCTGGGCATCCAGAAGATTTTCCTCTGCAAATACAGTGGCTACCTGGCTGTGGCAGGCACAGCAGGGCAGGTATCAGGCTGGGCTGGGGGTGGGGAGCGGCGGGAGGAGGGATCCAGGCCCGTGAGCTTCCTTCTCAGGATTAGGGAGCAGCAGAGACAGGAACCAACCCCCTGAGTGCCCACCAATGGTGTCATCAAGAGCATTAGCTGCCGTTGTGGCCCTGACTTTCGCCAGTGGATAGAGGCTGCCCAATTCCACTAGAGCAAGGCCTTTGGGAAGGTGGTTTCTCCTGCAGAAACCAGAATCGAGGGCCAGAGGTTGGGCAGAGGCCTTCTAGCCCTGCTTGGTCCCTTGGCCCTGGCATAGGTCCCGGGCCCTTTGCTGTCCACTCCATCAGGTCCCGGAGGTCCCGCTGTCCCTTGGTGTCAGGGTTGGCTCAGTCCATCTGCCCCCTCCCCCTCCCCAGGTGCTGATACTGGAGCTGAATGACGAGGAGGCGGAGCATTGCGTGCAGCAGGTGGAGGCCGACCTGCTGCAGGACCAGGAGGGCTACCGCTGGAAGGGGCACGAACGCCTGTGTGCCCGCCCGGGGCCTGTGCGCTTCGAGCCCGGCTTCCAGCCCTTCGTGTTGGTGCAGTGCCAGCCCCCGGCTGTGGTCACGTCCTTGGCTCTGCACTCTGAGTGGCGGCTCGTGGCCTTCGGCACCAGCCACGGCTTTGGCCTCTTTGACCACCAGCAGCGGCGGCAGGTCTTTGTAAAGTGAGCAGCCCGCCCAGGGGGGCCGGGGCCTGGGTCTGGGACTGGTGCCTGGCGAGAGGACTTTGGGCCTTGGCAGCGCTCACAGCCTGATGTTCCCCCTAGGTGCACGCTGCACCCCAACGACCAGCTAGCCTTGGAGGGCCCGCTGTCCCGAGTGAAGTCCCTAAAGAAGTCCCTGCGCCAGTCCTTCCGCCGGATACGTCGCAGCCGGGTGTCCAGCCGGAAGCAGCGGCCAGCTGGCCCCCCGGGAGAGGTGAGGCCAAGGCCAGCCACGATCCCAGGCAGAGCTGGGAGCAGCCACAGTGGGCCGAAGTACTCCTCTCTCGCTGCTTGCTCTGGCTGCAAGCACAGGCTCTGGGCACACCACATAGGTTCACCTCCCGCCCCACTGCCCGCCAACTATGTGGGTATAGGTCACACTGCTTCTCTGTGCCTCAGCTTCCCCAACTGTAACGGCAATAATTATAACACCGTGGGGTCAAGTCCTCAGTAAATATTATCAGACAGGGAGTGGCGTGGGCTGTGGCCAGTCTCCCCCTAGAAGAATCTGTGTTGAGCAATAGATGCCCCAGGGAGGGGAGGCCAAAGCCCACCCTCAGGCCGGCCCAACCCACCTCAGGTGCAGGAGGGGCGGATCCGGGCAGAGCGGTCGGGCCTGCAGAACATGGAGCTGGCGCCTGTGCAGCGTAAGATTGAGGCCCGCTCAGCGGAGGACTCCTTCACGGGCTTCGTCCGGACCCTCTACTTTGCTGACACCTACCTGAGGGACAGTGAGTGGCCAGCCTGAGGTGGGAGGGGCCCAGGCGAGCGCCCCCTGACATGAGGGCATGTTGGAGGCTACTGCCTGCCTGGCTCATGGGACCCTAAGAGCAGTTTCCTGCTTGTGAGCCAGGAGGGGGGTCGGAGCCTCCACCTGTGTCTTTCCCTCCCCTGCCTGGGCCTCCACGTCAGTTTGTCCTGGCTTCATATCCAGGCTCCACCGTCCTCTAGAAGCGTGACCTTGGACATGTCACTTAACCTTTTGGGGTCTCAGCTTATCGCCCTGTAAAATGGACTGTCTTCCTCCTAGAATGGCTGTGAGGGTTGGGACATGCCTCGTGCCTGCTGATACGCCATAAGCCCTATAGAAGCTCCCTTGGCTGTCCCCTGCTGCCCTCCTGCCAGGGCGAGGGCGGGATGAGGGGGCTGTCTGCTGTATCGTAAGGGCTGAGCTGTCCTGGGTTCAGGACCATCTGTGTTCAAGGCCGTTGGTTATCAGAGAGCCTTCCCGGCCTTTTCCCCATCTGCACCCCAGAGGCGGGCAGGACCCACAGCAGCTCAGTTTTACAAAGGAGTGAACTGACGCTTGCAAGGTTTGCTGAAATGACCTTGGAGTTACACAGGTAGTGAGTGGCAAGACCAAGATGTAAGCTTAGGCCACCTGGCTCTACTTGACCTCCAGAGCCAGGGGTAAGATATAAACCTTTGCCTCCTGGCAGGCTCCCGTCACTGCCCCTCGCTGTGGGCCGGCACCAATGGGGGTACCATCTATGCTTTTGCCCTGCGTGTGCCCCCTGCCGAACGGAGGATGGATGAACTGGTGCGGGCAGAGCAGAGTGAGTGCTGGGTAGGGGAGGAACAGAGGGTGTTTGTCTGCCTAAGCTGAGGGCGGGGTCGTTTCTCCAGCCTCGCCCTTCACCCGATCACCAGCTTCACCTCCTGCCTCCTCCCCTGTAGCCAAGGAGATCCAGCTGATGCACCGAGCACCCGTGGTGGGCATCCTGGTGCTGGACGGACACAGCGTGCCCCTTCCCGATCCCCTGGAAGTCGCACATGACCTGTCAAAGAGCCCAGACATGCAGGGCAGCCACCAGCTGCTCGTTGTGTCAGAGGAGCAGTTCAAGGTGCCACACGGGTGGAGTCCCCAGGGATCCCTGGTGGGGGCTCAGACCCCGGGCACAAATGAAAATGGCTGGGACTCCCTGAAAGCTGTATTTATTGTTGGTGTATGAGGGGCTGCAGAGTCATAGGACAGGAGAGGGGCCTTGGTGTGGGGTCCCTGGGCCCCAGACTCAGCAGTGGGAACACTGAAGTAGGACCTATCTTTGGGACAGAAAATGCAGACATGGATATCAGTGGCCCTGGCATCCTTGCAGCCTCAGTGTGGGAACTGCATGCCCACGCACTGAGGGAGCTGCGAGACTGAGCAGGCTTTGCTGGGATGCTGGGCCACATCCAGTGGACACAGGGAAGGGGGAAGGCCTTGTTTGGCTACACTGCAAACTGGGGTCTGGCTATTGGTGTGACCACAGTCCTGTGCCTCCAGGTGTTCACGCTGCCCAAGGTGAGTGCCAAGCTGAAGCTGAAGCTGACCGCTCTGGAGGGCTCACGGGTCCGGCGGGTCAGCGTGGCCCACTTTGGCAGCTGTCGAGCCGAGGACTACGGGGAGCATCACCTGGCCATCCTCACCAACCTGGGCGACATCCAGGTTGTCTCGCTGCCCCTGCTCAAGCCCCAGGTGCGTTACAGCTGCATCCGCCGGGAGGACGTCAGCGGCATCGCCTCCTGCGTCTTCACCAAATACGGCCAAGGTGTGCAGGTGGTGGCGCGTCCGGGCCCTCTGCGAGCAGGGCTGGGTGTGGGGCTCCCACTGCACTGCTGGGCTGCTGGGAAGGGCATTGCGGCCAAGGCCAGGCCCTTTAGGTGGAGAACTTCGAGGGAGACGCTGGTCCCAATTTCCCTGGGTGGAAGCCCCATTGTCGGCAGCACAGGACCTAGGAGACCGGGCTGGCCTCACCTACTAGGCCTCTCCCCTACCCCCCCAGGTTTCTACCTGATCTCACCCTCGGAGTTTGAACGTTTCTCTCTCTCCACCAAATGGCTGGTGGAGCCCCGGTGTCTGGTGGATTCAACAGAAATCAAGAACCACAGCCGCTCCCACAATGGATCAGGCCCTGAGAGGGCCTTGGGCCGAGCCAGGTAGGTAAAAGGGCAGGTAGCCTTTGCCCCAGCCCTCTCCCTGCCCCTCCCTAAGGCACCCACTGGGAGCTGGCCAGAGTCCCCCTCCCCTGTGAGCTCAGCCTGCACTCTAGGCTCTGGCTCTCTGCCCCCCTTGTATGCCCCTCCCTCCCATGTGAGGTGTCATCCAGGACAGGCTTGGCCTTCCTCTCAGGAGCCTCCTGCTCAGGGCAGGCCAGGTCAGTTGACTTCATTCTTCACGGGACTAGGGCTTTCCAAGCCAGAATAGGGAGCCTAGTGGCCCCCGATCCTTACTATCTCTCCTCCCACAGGAACTCAGGGAGCCAGAGTGATGGAGAGGGTAAGACAGGCCTCTGTGGGGCCAGGGGAGTGTGGGGGCAGAGGTGTTGTGAGCGCACCTGGGCCAACTGGGCCCAGGCTTTGGGATGGAAGGAGGGAAGGGGACCCCAGGTGAGCAGATTAGCTGGGATTAGAAACAGTATTCCTTCCAGTCCTGGGCTCTGGGCTCCAGCACCCCCACCCCAATAAGGAGGAGCTGGGGTAGAGGGCCGAGGGCTCACCTGACCTGGCCTCTGCCTTTCAGACAGGAGGCCTGGCCCCGTGATGGAGCACGCTCTGCTCAATGACGAGAGTGAGTCAGGCGGGGGCTGGGGGGTTGGCAGGAGGGATGTTCAGGGTAGAGGAGGTTTGGAAGGCCAGGGTGGAGGGGAGGGTCATTTCCCTGATGAGGGCAGACCCACCCGGCACCCTATCAGTAAAAGGGGGAGAAAGGCTTATGTCTGGCCCAGCCCCTGCTGGCCTCACCAGGCCTCTGCTCCCCAGGGGTCCTGAAGGAAATCCAGAGCACGCTGGAGGGAGACCGAGGGTGAGTTATTGCCCCAGCGTGCAGGGGTGGGCCCCGGGTTGCCAGGAGAGCTCTGAGAATGAAGGTCCTTGTCTGGCCGCTCGAGTCCCCATGGAGGGTGACAGTCCTGTCTTTGCCCATGCAGGAGCTATGGCAATTGGCGATCTCAGCAAGTGGTCATGAGGTACAGCCTCAGCAATGGGGGAGGTAGGGCATTTGGGCACTGCCACGAGCTGGGTGGGGGCAGCTGGGAGGACGTGCTCCTAGGGAGGGATAGTTGGGAAAGCCCTCTTCCTCCTCCCCAAGTCCCTGAGAACCTTTGGGTGCATCCCAGCCGTGACACATGCCCCGGTTCTGAAAAACTCCGCATCTGGCCTCAGGGTGGGTGACAGGCCACCATCCTGCCCAGGTTGCATCTGAATTGCTGTCACTCTACCTCATTCCGCAGCAGAGTGAGCGGGCCACACGTCCAGGCTGCACGATGAATACACTACTGAGGGCTCTTCCTCGGGGCACCGGCCCACCTGGAGGGGCCCATGCCCTGGGCCGGGCTAGGGGCTGGGAGCGCCCCCAGCTTCCACCCCACTGCTGCTCCTGGCCTCGGGAGAGGAGGGACCGAGACCCTGGGGCTGCCCCTTCCCAGGCCTTGTCTGTTTCCTTCCTTTTGTCAATGTTGCACAGTTTTTATCTTCCCCCCCTTTTTTGTAGTGGGCTGGGTTTTAAATTATAAATTTTAACTGCCTCTGGGTGAAAAGAGTTTTTAATAAATAATAAGGTACCTTATTACCTCTTCACTGGTCCAATGACTTTAGTTTTTTAACTGTGCAGAAATTTCCCCCGTAAATGGAAATGATCATTAGCTGGTTCATTGTCTTTGCCCTGGGGTTTGTCCCCTGGACCAGGCTGGTGCTCAGAAGAATCCGCCTCTTAAGCCATTTGAATCAGAGCAAACTGTACCTGGTTGTGTCTGAACAAGGCGACACCTTCTGTCTTTGGGAATAAACAGCAGGAGGGAATCGTCTTGAGTCTGTCTGACCGCATCACTGGGTCGGGGCAGAGGGAGTCCCCTTGCTGTCAGAAGCGGAAGACACCCGCAGTATCTCAGGTCTGGTGGCTTCTTCCAGACTTCAGGAAAGGACTGTGGGGTACTATTGAGGTGGGGGGCAATGCCCAGAGGTGAAAGGTTTTACCTCCACATGAGGGGCTGGATTAGACAGCTGTTAAGGTCCTTACAACAGGGGTTTGATTCTACTTGGACTATATCTTTACTTACCTGTTTTTGTTGAGCACCTAATATATGCCAGGTGCTTGGGGTTGCGAGGTGGCCAAGATGATGAGGTCCCTGCCCATGTGGGGCACATAGTCCTTAGAAGTGCAGGAAGTGTTAGGATGAAGGAAATTCTGGAACCTGTGAGAAATGTGCCTGGGGAGGTGACCTTAAGCTATGATGGGAGCATTGACTAGGAGTTGGTTGGGCAGAAGGTGTGGTAGGCTGGGCAGACCATTCTGCAGAGGACAAGAGGGGACAGCAGCATGCAAGGGACTGGTCTGCTTGGGGCTGGCAGGAACTGTGCTGATGATGAGACCACCCAGTGGCCAAGGCCAGACTGGGAGCCCCTGGAGCCCCACGAGGGTGAGGGCACTGCCATGTGCCATAGGTGCCCACCTCGGCCTGAGCAGGGACATGCCCTGCTGAAAGGACCCGAGGAGCTCACACAGCAGAGGATGGATATCCCGTGGGGACATCCTACCCAATCGCCCCCAGCTGGGCATGGCCAGCTCAAGAGTCTGGATTAGGGAACTTGGGTCACTTGGGCGTCCCTTATTACTCCTTAGAAGAGGGTGGGGCTTACTGAGATGGGAGCTCCAAGAGCCATTGAGGAATGGGGACAGTTCCCCAAAGAGAAGAGGAATGCTGTCCCTGGGAGCAGTAGCGGAGGGCTGCTGAGCAGATGAAGACTAAGCCACAGACGAGGGGGTGCCACATACCCTGCAGTTAGAGTCAGACTTTATCCTGATGCAATGGAAGCTCCTGACTGGTTTTAAGCAGGGAAATTTCACTATAAGATTTACTCTTCTAAAGACCACTGTAGTTTAAACCCCAGCAAGTCCCACTTGTGTGACCTCAGCAAATTACTTACTTGCTCTGCCTCGGTTTCTTCTGGGAAATGGGATGATAGCATTATTCCCTTGTGATCTGTTGTGAGTCCACAAAGATAATGGGTTAATGGTGGGGGCCAGGGCCAGGGAGAACATGTTAAAATTTGATGCACAGGATGTCTTTATTTTAGTTAGTTTTAAAGGTTTTTATTGGGGAAGGGGAACAGACAAGTTGCTGTCCTTTTGTTCTTCAGTCTAGTTGTAGAGGATGTAGTTCACTGGCCCATGTTGGTATTATCACTGGGCTCTTCCCGGGTGAGGCAGTCGCTCGCCGGCCATTGGACAGCCACTCACGGTGGCTCACGGCAGCTCATGAAAGCTCACACCCGCTGCCGACCAGCCCCACTGTAGCCTATGCTGTTGCCGGCGACTCACAGCAGCCCAGTTCCAGGTCAAGCTGTTGTTCACCATCTTAGCTATAGAGGGTGCAGTGTCACTAGCCCATGTTGGATCCAAACTGGCGGCCCTGCTGCTCAGAGCTCGCATTCCTAAGCCAACTCTGAACCAACGAGCCACTCTGCCAGCCCAAGATGTCTTTATTTTTTAATCAAGAGAAATTAAGCTTTACTATTTATACCTTGGCTTGGCACTGGGGTCCTCAGTCTGTAGGTCAGGGGATGATACACCAAAAGTGGGTACCAAGAAGGGAGGGAGAACCTCACAGAGGGCTGGCACCCCCACCCCCATCCTCAGCCTATGGAGATTTGTATGGTTTTTGACTGACAGTTTTGGGGAACTTACAGCTTGTTTTATCTGGTTAGCTAAACTAACAAATGAACAGTGCATGAAGTTCCCTGCTAAGAAGCTAAGAATTGAAGGTAATGGTACTAACGCAAGCACGAGTAAATGCAAAGAAGATGGGAGAGCCAGCACTCCGTGGATTAGGGGACTTCGTGGCTGCAGCAATGATCCAGCTAATCAGACAGAACAAGAAATCGACACACACACACTCCTGAAATTATCACAAAGACTTAGAAAATGGATTTACATCCACGCTCACTACAACAAGCTTGGCTTTAAGCACGCTATGCTTTGAAATATTAACTAATGTCGGTGGTTCGCATATTTCAGTTCTCAGAAAACATTCTCATACTGGGAGTGTGAGATCAACAATGTTTATTGATAGGCGTGCACAAATGGAAGGGACTGGCATTCTCTGGAAAGTGGATTAATGGAAGCTGGGCTGGCATAGAGGGAGGAGCTGGGGGTCCTTGCAGCAACAGTCCAGGGAGAGGGGATGGTAGTGGCAAAATGGAGGTTGAGTTGACAAAGATCACTGCCATGGAGAAGGCGAGTGAGGGGTGATTCCAGGGCCTTGGAGATGTGCTATAGCAGCTGGACACACGGTCTGGAGACTGATCTTCAGCATCCAAAGGTGGGAGAGCCTTAGTGTCCACTTAAACTTGGAAGTCAGGCAGATCCAACCTTGGAACATTGGCTTTGCCTGTGACTGGCTGTGTGACCGTGGGTAGATGACCTCACTCCTGTGCCTTAGTTTACTTGTCTGTAAAATAGGACATAATAATAGGGTCTACCTCAGAGGATTGTAAGGATTAAATGAGTCTGTAGAATCACACAGCACCTGGCTCCTAGTAAACACAAACCCAAAGGAGGTGAAAGTTACTGTGGATGGTGGGTAAGGCCAGAAGAGGAGGAGATGGCTCCCAGAGTAAGGGAGGAGTGGAGTCGGAAGAGGGGGTGCTCCGCAGACTGGAGGCGTTCACAATGCTGTGAGCAAAGCAGGTGAAGGAATGAGTGGTAAAATTAGGAGGAAGAGAGGGGACGGAACTGGGCTCTGCGGTGGGGGTCCTGCTCTCCTGGGTGTCAAGTTGACTAGTTCAAGGTGTGCATTTTTGTTGTACGCTGTTTTCTTTATACTTCACAATGTAATCGAACAACAAAAGACTAACAAAATTCATGTTATGGTATCTGTGTGCCAAGGTCAGTCTGGCCCCTAGCATCCTGGAGCAATCCAGGGGGTTAAGGGGAGGACAGAGGGTGTCCCCTGGAGCCCCCAGGACTAGGGGTATGGCCCAGACAGGTTCTCTCCGCACCCTTCACCCATGCTGGGCAAGTAGTGAGGGAGCAGCTGAAAGTGGGCCCCCTCTTTGGCGCGGTGCCAGGCTGCCCTGGCTTGCAGCTACTCCTGGACAGCAGAATTGCCCTGGCCCTGGCCTTTGCCCGCAAGTGCAGCGTCTCCTCTTTCCTGGGCGGCCTCCGCTCCATTGTTGGCCGCGGGGGTCAGAGCCCGCAGCCACCTGCATTATTGATGCACCTGCGTAAGGCAGGAGACACGAGGGGGTAGATTGAGCTTGTGGACTCCACCAGAGCAGAACCGGGGTGGTGCGCTGCGGAGGGCTGAGGGAGCCTGCGGGCAGCCAGGTCCTCGGGAACAGGAGAGGACGAAGACGCCCCCGGAAGCCCCTCTTCACTGGGCCCGCCATGGGCCGGAGAAACGGCAAAACGCCCCAACGCCGGGAGGGACCCGAGGGGCCGGCCTCACGGGAGCAGGAGTCCGGGTCGGCCAGCGCAGATGGCGTGCCCAGCCGGGAACGCCGACAGGGCCGTGGTAAGGCCCGCGGGGTGAGACCAGTCTTGGAGTCCTCCCCCGCGGGAGGCCAGGGGACCTCTGCTGGCCACAAAAAGCCCACGGCAGAGAAGAACGGCGGCTGCAGACGGCCCGGGGCTGGTCCTCCATCGGAGGCCCAGGGGAGACAAGAAAGCGCGCGGCGTCGGGGACGCGGAGCTAAGAAGAGCCGGGGGCCCGGGGACAGCCGTGCGGGGCGCCTGGAGGAGGAGAGTCTCCCCCGAGGAGAGGGGACGACAGGCGAGCGCGGCCGACACAGGAGAGGAGGAAAAGGGCGGGGACCCTCGGCTCGGCGCGGCCTCGACGGGGATGCGTCGGGCGGAGACGGAGGCAGCTCCTGCCGGGAGAGCGAAGCCCGCGAGGCCCCGGGAAACGGCAGCCAGAACGGCGGGGCTCCGGAGCTGCGGCCCAAATCAGAGCAGACGGACACGGGCTCGGGAGGCACCCAAACCGGGTCAGAGTCAGCGCTGGAGCCGGGAGAGCTTCCGAGCAGCGACGGCCTGAGTAGCGATGAGCCCCGGAGCCAGGAAGGACTGTCGGGGACGGAGCCCCAAGGAAAGAACGAGGGTTCCGGGACAGACAAGGACTCGAGTCCAGAGGGGGCCGGGTCTGGACGGGGCCCACTGGCAGCCCCAGGACCCGTGAGCAGGTACACGGAGGCCAAAGAGGCCGAACTGGGCAAAAAAGCCACGGCCTCCAGCCCCCTCCAGAGCAGCCGTGCGTGCGTCCCCCCAAAGTCGCGGGCTTCTCAGGAACCCAGGCCGGCCGGGGACACGCGTGACAAGGGGACGCGGCGAGAGGCGAAGCCGCGGGGCGCCGAGCCCGGTGGAGCCGAGGTCTCGATGGCCCGGAATCGGCGCCGCCAGGTCGGAAAGGTGGTGGGGAAGGTGCAAGAAGCAGCGGACGACAGCGAAGCGGAGGCCGAAGGGGGAGACGGACCCGGCGACCCAGCACCGCTGGCCGCCCTCGTGGCGCTCCACAGGCTCCGCGCGAGGCCCCAGCCAGGCCCCGCTTCCGAGGCCGCGGGTCCCCGCCGCGCGGGCCTCAAGGAGCGGCTCGTGCGCGTGGCGCGGGCCTTGGGCCTCCTCCGCTGGCTGTGGCACCGGCTCTGGCTCAGGGCGGGCAGGGGGCAGGCGGCGGGGCCGCGGGCAGGCGAGGGGCCGGGGCCCGGACCGCGAGCGGGAGGTGGGCGGGGCCGCGGGCCGGGGCTGCGGCGCCGTTTAGCGCTGCGCCTGGCGGGCGTGGCGGGGCTGGATGGACGGCCGAGGGCTCCCCCTGGCGGCGGCCCGAGCTCCCCACAGGCCGCGAAGAGCCCAGCCCGCGACGCACCTTCCGAGGACGAGGACCCGACTCCGGATCCCAAGTTCGCGGTCGTGTTCCCCAGGATCCACAGGGCGCGGAGGTCGTCGCGCGGCCGGAGTTCCGAGGCAGCGTCCGCAGTCGCCCCCGCCGGGGAGGGGCTCATTCGGCCTTGTGCCGCGGCCTCAAGGGACGGTGCAGGGCGCAGGGCCAACGGAGAAGGGGTGGCCGGGCCCCGCCGCGGCTCTCTCCTCTGCCCGACTCCCCGCGGCGAGACCCCCCCACTCGACGAGAGCGGCTCCGGCAGCGAAGCCGAGCCGGAGGCCTTGGAAGCCGAGGCTCCGGTTCACTGGGCGCAGGGCTCAGACGCCAGCGAGGACCCTGGGCTTGGCACCCACACTCTGCTGCCCCGGCTCACCTTGGAGAGGAGCCTAGGCCCCTGTGCGTCCCAGAGGGAGCGGTGGGAGCCGGAGGATGAGGCCGAGGAAGCGCTGGAGAGGGAACTGGAGCTGAGCCTCGGGCCAGGCCTGGAGACGCCATCCTTTCTCGGTGCCGAGGGCAGGAGCCTCATGGACGTCCTGGAAGACACCGAGGACCTGGCCCGGCTGCGGTGCGTGAGCTCGGTTCCAAATCTGCCTTAGCTAGGTCACACAGTTCCTCACGTCGCGCCCTACTCCCGTTTTTTATAAATTGTAGAGGGGATTTTGCCTCACTCAAGGTCGTCTGGCTGGAAGGGGCAGGTGAGGGGTGAAATCGGGCCTCTGCCTCGAACTTCCTTCTCTAACTGGCACAAAGCTTCCCTCTGGGTCAGCAGCCTGGTCCTGCTTGTCGGTGGGTAATTTACTTAGCAGCTGGGCCCCTGTGTTATGGACAGGGGTGGGTGACTTGCCCAAAGTGTTCTGCAGCCAGTGGCAGCACTGACCTAGGACCTCCCTCCACCCAACTCTCTGCTCCTCCACCCTGCTGTCCCCACAGACTGGTGTGTGACAGCTCCGTGCTGCTGTGCCTCAAGAAGAGGTTTCACCTGGGCAGAATCTACGTATGCGGGGACTCAGGGAGGGGATGGTGGGCTGGCACTCCCCGTCTCCCCTGGGGTCAGGGGGCCCTCCAGCACCTCGGGAGCTTCTCCTTCCTGGGCTGGGTGCAGAACCCGTTCTGGGAACCCACAGAGCAGGGGCCGGGGGCTGGAGCAGGGACTGTCAGGGTCCCATTCCATTTGCGTCTCCTGCTCCCTCCATGTTCTGGTGAGAGCTTCAGCTTTCTTCCCCAGACCTATGGGGGGCCCCTCCTGCTCGCTCTGAACCCCCGCCAGCCCCTGCCTCTCTTCTCGCCTGAGGTCCTGGCCAGCTACTGTCCCAGGAAGGCCCCCAACAGCACCCCGTAAGTAATGTTGCCTCAACAACCCTTTGCTCCTACCCCAGGCTGCTAAGCCCCAGCATGTCCCATCGACCGAAGTCCTAGGGCTGGTGGGCACATCCTGCCTCCACCGAAAAGGGCCCTAGATGCCCCTGGCAGCCTTCTCATTGGCCCCTACCCTCTTTCCCCAGACATATCTTTGCCATTGTGGCATCAGCCTATAGCCTGTCTCAGAGCACTGGACAGGGTACCTGCATTCTTGTCAGGTGAGTGGTGGCTCCCCTATTAGGCTGAACCCACACTGGGAGGGGCACATGAGAGCTGCATTTGAAGCTGCCAGTTTGCTCCATTGCTGGGTGGCAGCTCTGGACTTTCTAAGGCCTGTGCTATTGGCTGAAGTAGCCACATGTGCCTCTTGAATGAGACATCTCGGGGACATTTTTCTGTTTGGTCTCCATGCCCGGGGTCTCTCTTTCTACATTTTAGGGGGTCTCTAGGGTAAGTATCACTTCCAAGTGGGCATGTCCCCCCTTCATGGGCTCAATGGGGTCAGCCCATGTGCCCCTCCCTGGAGACACTACCAGCCCTTCCCTCCTGCAGTGGGCACAGTGGTTCAGGGAAGACAGAAGCTGCCAAAAAGATTGTGCAGTTCCTAAGCAGCCTGGAGCAGGAGCAGACGAGGGACAGAGGGTGCCAGGTAAGGGGTAACTGGCCATTTCCCTGAGTTCCAAGAGGAACCATCCTCCTTTGAGCCAGGAGGGTGGTCTTCAGGCCTCTGGCTTCTCCTCAGGGCAGCCCCAGGCATCGCCTACTGTGGGGGCAGGGTGGGGTGGGGTGGACCGACCCTCCATGGACCAGCACAGTCCCCAGGCGCAGAGTGTCTTCAGCTGGGATGCCTGATCAGTGGGCACCACTCTTGCTCCTGGGGATACTTGAATGCCCTCCCCCCATCCAGCTGGATGACGTGCTGCCCTTGCTCGGCAGCTTCGGCCACGCCAAGACGGTCCTCAATGCCAATGCCAGCCGCTTCGGCCAGGTCTTATGCCTCTGCCTGCAGCAGTGAGTGATGGGGGTCCAGGTGGGCACAGGGGGCATGCATGATCAGTTCTCTTTACTGGGAACCTGAGGCTGTTGCCCTCGGGTCCAGCCCATGGTGGGACCCATGATGAGTGGGGCCCCTGGGTTGCATGCACCCTGGGTACCCCCAGCCAGTGTCCTGTGCCTACAGTGGGGTCATCGTGGGAGCTTCTGTGTCACATTATCTGCTTGAGACCTCAAGGGTGGTGTTTCAGGTAAGACCCACCTTGCCAGCTCCCAGAGTGGGAAAGAGGGAGGGGCCACTGTGTGTGTGAGTGTGTGTGTGTGTGTATGGGGGGGTGGCTATGGTTCCTAAGCCCCCAGGCCTGCCTTCCCCAGGACTTGTCCTTGCTGGCTCTGGGGCACAGAACCAGGCCACTGCTTCCCCTAAGCCAATCCTTCTCCTCTAAGGCCCAGGCTGAGCGGAGCTTCCATGTTTTTTACGAGCTGCTAGCAGGGCTGGACCCCGTGGAACGGGAGCAGCTCTCCCTGCAGGAGCCAGAGACCTACCACTACCTCAACCAGGTAGGGACAAGGCCCACTGGGTGCAGGCAACAGGGCCTGCCCAGGGAAGGGTCTCGGCAGAGAGGTCTGAGGAGGAGCCAGTGTAGGGGGAGGCAATGGGTGGCCAGGCCCTGCTCCCCGCCCCTGCTATGCTCTGTAGGGCCGGGCCTGCAGGCTCCAAGGCAAGGAGGATGCCCGGGACCTCACAGGACTGGTGAAGGCCCTGCAGGCGCTGGGCTTGTGCCCTGAGGAGCTGACCGCAGTCTGGGCCGTGCTGGCCACCATCCTGCAGCTGGGCAACATCTGCTTCTCCTCATCAGAGGTGGGCTTCCCCTGAGGTGCCAGACCCGTGTGGCTTGTTTGCATAATCAGAGCAACAATGGTGTCCATCACTTGTGTGAGGGAGACTGCAGAGCCCTGGGCCACCTTCCGCTGCCCAGGAAAGCAGGCAGACCCCCATCCTATAGACTAGAAAACCGAGACCAGGGTGCGAGGCCTGGATTTTCCGTATCTATGCCAATGCCTGGCCCCCACGCTGCCCATCCTGGGACGCATACCTGGCGCCGATTGAGCAGCTGTTATGTCCCTGGCACTGTGTAAATCATGTCCATGTGTTTTCTAATTCGATTCTCATGACAATACCAGGACCTAAGGGGCATTGTGTCCCCTTTAATAGTAAGACAGTGGCGGCTCAGAGAGGAAAGACACTCAGCAGGGCCAGCCACTCAGTGAAGAAGTCAAGTCAGGACTCACACTTAGAACCCTCAGCACCCAGAGCCGGCTCCTACCTGCCCGGTCTACCTTTGGGTGGCAGAGCAGCTTGTCAGGCAAAGCAAGGCCTGGCCCCTGCCCTGGGAGATGCGCGAGCAGAGCTCTCCCTGCTCCCTCCCTGCTCTGTCCAGAGGGAGTCCCAGGAGGTGGCTGCCGTGTCCAGCTGGGCCGAGATCCACACGGCAGCACGGCTGCTGCAGGTGCCGCCCGAGCGCCTGGAGGGAGCTGTCACCAGGAGGGTCACGGTGAGCTTGACGGTCCTGGGGAGGCACGGGCACAACCAGGCCACCTGAAGGCTTGCTGAGTGCCCATGTGGGCCTTGGGCCTGGCCTACCACGTGCATATCCTCTGCCCTCCAGGAAACACCCTATGGCCGGGCCTCAAGATTCCTCCCCATGGAAGGCGCCATTGATGCCAGGTGGCCCTGGGGGGCAGGAGAGCGCTGTCACCACACCTGGCGCTGTGCTGCACGTGGCTCACACACCATGCCCACAGGGACACCCTGGCCAAGGCCCTGTACTCGCGGCTCTTCACCTGGCTTCTGAGGAGGACCAACACGCGGCTGGCACCACCCCGGGAGGGAGGCAGCATGGACACCGTCACTGTCGTGGATGTCTACGGCTTTGAGGTCACCCCTTGGGGTGGGGCCCAGGACAGAGTGCCCATCTCATCCTGATTATTTCTGGGGACCCCAGCAGCTCCAGCTGGGGGTGGGGGGTGGACACTTGTGAACTGTTTGCCTGCCTGGCCCTGAGATAGTTCAGGAGACAGCTGCACGCTCCGGGGGTGTAGCCATTCTGCCCCGCTCTGACCAGTCCTGACATTGCCTCTGGAGAGTTCTGTCCTGCTGGGCCTTGCAGAGTCTCACAGGAGCCTCTGAGTCAGTGGGAGACAGGCCCTACGACGGGTCGGCCCATAGCCTCACCTCCATTCACCAAGAGGAGTGGGAAGCGGGAAAGTCCCCGGCATCGCCCTGACTTTTCATAAGCTCTTCACCCCAGAAGATCCTACCTCCTGGGGCAGGGAGGAGGGGGCTAGAGCAAGGCGCCTCACCCTCCATCCCTGCATGGGCATTGCTCACTGCCCCTGCTCTCGTCTGCTCTCCAGTGTCCCCCTGGTGATGGCCATCCCCGCTCTGAGCAGGGGGATGACATGGCAAGTGTGTGTGTGTGCTCACGTTGCACTCTTGTGTATGTTTTAGAGTGTATCAAAAATCTCAACAAGCTACAGGAAGTGGGGCTTGCTGGGGTTACTAGTGAAGTGTTGGGGGCACAGAGAAAGGAGCCTGTAATCCCTGCAGGAGGAATGCCAGAAGGCTTCTTGGAGGCGGCAGCCTGGAGCCCTACTTATCAGGATGTGGGATACTGATAGCCAGTGACCTAGGTCGCAGGAAAAGGAGGCTTCCAGACCACAGGATGGCTGCGACCAGATGCCTGAAGGCTCACAGTCATGCTGAGGCAGAGGGCAGGGGTGTGGGATCCTAGAGGGAGGCCTGACTATGGCTGGGCAGGGCTAAGGCGGCCTGCACGCTGTGCCAGGGCCTTTGCACTTGACCCTGTAGGCTGCAGCATCCGCCGTGGGGCACCACTCTTCCCTGTGGGAGAGGGAGGCAGGGCACCAGACCTGTGTGCCAGCCCCCCATACCTGCCCTGTTTCCCCACCTGTGTGGGCTCCCACCTCACTGCCCACGTGCCTCCAGGCCCTGCGGGTGAATGGCCTTGAGCAACTGTGCAACAACCTTGCCAGTGAGCGCCTCCAGCTCCTCTCCATCCAGATGCTGCTGGCTCAGGAGGAGGTAAAGGGACTGGGCATGGATGCGGAAGGGGGACACCCAGCTGTTTCCCAGAACAGAAGCCATCCCTGGTAAAAAGAAGGCACCGCACTGAGAGCTCTGCCCCACAGCCCACTTGCTATGGGCCGTCTCAGTCCTTCTGAGCCTCAGTTTACTCATTTGTGAAATGGGAGGGCCATCCCTCCTCTGGCTCAGATGAAGCCCCCCAGGAATATGAGTGGGCTTCATAAACAGCCAAATGCTGTCTGTTCCCAGGAGGAGTGTCGGCGGGAGTTGCTGCCCTGGGAGCCCATCCCCCAGCCCCCGAGGGAGTCCTGCCTGGACCTCCTGGTAGGCCAGCCCCACAGCCTCCTGAGTATCCTGGATGCCCAGACATGGCTGTCCCAGGTGAGCCCCCAGTGGCGGGGACAAGGAGTGGGGGAGCAACAAGGTGATGGGGTCCAGAGACCCTGCCCACAGCCAGCCCCTCAGCACAGCTTGGGGAGGCAGTGGCCAAACTGGGTTCAAACCATGACTCTGGGTGATCTTGAGCAAGATGCCTGTCCTCTCTGAAGTTCCTCAAGTCCTCGCTGCAGAAGGGGGACAATAGTGTGGGAGGGGCAGGGTGGTGGGGACACGCAGGGCTCTGCAGAGCTTGTGAGGGCCCTTCAGGCCTCCAGTCAGTAGGGAGCAAAGGGCGAATCCATTCCACAAATACTCCCCTCCACCCGCCCCTGCCTAATAGGTCCCCTGTTACCCTTCAGCCTCTGCCCTACTTATATTTTGATAACACTAGTGTCCACAAGCAGTTACAGCATACAGTTATTCATTGACTCTTTCTCTGGAGCTAGACTGAGCTCCATAGGGCTGGGTCCTCATCTGCAGGGTTCCAGCCCTATGCACAGTGCCTGGAACATGGTTAAGGGTTCACTAAATATTGAATGAATGAATGAATGAATGAACGAACGAGTGAATGAGTGAATGAATGAATATATGTGCTAGGAACTATGCTAGGGATAAAAAGGTGAGCAAAAATAGACTCAGTCTCTCCCTTAGAGCCTGCAGTGTAACAGGAGAGAGGTGCTAATCACACACACACACACACACACACACACACACACACACACACACATACATAAAGTCACACCAGTATGGCTCCATGGACGGGTGTCCAGGGTCACGAGAGCATGTGTGCGGCTTGGGCCCTCTCTGGGATGTGAAGTCATTTTAGCTATACACCAGGACCCCAGCTATGAGAGGACCCCCCCCCATTTTCCCATTTAGAGTTTGAAAATAAAAGATGAAAAATAATGATAAAATTATTCAAAGGTCATACTTCATCAATCGATATTAATATAAACATATTAGTATATAATAGATATGAATACATTAGCTATTATAACAACATTATTTTATATTAATATGTAATATTCATACATATTTGAAATCCCTTATCTGGTAAACCCAGCATGTTCATTCATAAATGATTGCTTTTTCTGGTTCACATTTCATAAAGTTCTAAGAAAACTTGTCACAGGCGTCTTTGACATCTCAGGGCCCCTTTTGGAAACACCCAGCATGGTTTTTCCAGGGCTCAGCATTATGTCTCCATTCTTTGAAACAGCTCTTTTCGAGTCTGTGTTGGGTGTTGACCCCAGAATTACCACCCTAAACCACACGTCCCATCTACGTAAGATTATGGCGGGTGTGCCCCATGCATCTGTGGTTATATGTTCCTGAGCTCCATAAAATAACCTCTTACTGGGTTGCTTTTTTAAAGTCTTTTTTAAAGACCTTTTTTAGAAACACCTGTAGGTATGAGGCTGTACTCTTAGGAGTGATTACTGGATCTTTCTTAAAATCATCCCACCCCCCACCCCAGCCCCATTTCTTTAAAATGATTTTATTGACTGAGGTGGTTTCGGTGTGTCTTTTACTGACTGAAGCAACTGTGTCTTTCTCAAATAGCCCTTTGTTGTTCAAATAGTCATTAGGAGAGAGAGCTCGCCCTTTATAAGGACTCAAATATGGAATGACTCTTTCTGTCTGAGGAAGAAGTTTGGGGAACAAAAGCAAAGCTCACTTCAGGTTTACTGTGTTTTGGGGGGGGGTGGCGGGAGGGGGGAAGCATAGTCCAGGCAGGGGGAGCAGCAGCGAGGGCCTGAGGGAAGCCCGCCTGTCTTATCAGGCCACAGACCACACCTTCCTCCAGAAGTGCCACTATCACCATGGAGATCACCCATGCTACGTCAAGCCCCAGCTGCCCCTTCCTATCTTCACCATTCGACATTATGCCGGACCTGTCACCTACCAGGTATCAGGGTGAATCGGGGACAATGTGATCCTGGTGTTCCTCTCAGAGCTGACTCACCTGACAGGTGACAGGAGACAGGAGTGGGTGAGGAGAGACCCCTTCCAAGCCTTGGCAGTCTGTACCTACCTGGGCCTCACCCAGTTCTGGGCCAGCGTTAGGGGGTGGGGGCCGTCGAGGCTGTGGGACCCTCCAAACCTAAATGGGCAGAGCATGCACATGGGACCTGGCTCTGATGGTCTCAGAAGAAGGTTCACTCTCCTTCTGAGCCTCCATTCCCTCATCTGTAAAATCAGAGTGGGAATCTGTCCTACAGCATTGTCGTGAGGATTAAATGCAGTAACATGGAAATGGCCAGGCAGGTACCTGGTACATACTAGGTGTTCACTGAAGGGACTTTTGTCCTGAGTTTCACAGCCACTGCACACCTACCTAAGAGGAGAGGCACTGAGGGGAAGGGGTCTGGTATAGAGTAGGACCCTATGACTGGTTTGAGGTGGGGGAAGTCACGTAAGGCTTCCTGGAGGAGGCAATGTGTTCTAGTTGTAGAAGAAAAAAAATACAAACTACCCAGGAGTTACCCAAACAAGAAACAAAAGGAGTATATGTCAATTAGATCTAAAAAAAAAAATCACATCAAAAGAAAAAAATTTGGGAGATTGAATTAAAAAACTATGATGGAATCTAAAGAACAGAATAAACGAGCAGACTAATCAGGGAAAAAAGAAGTAATCCTTTTCTCTACTATAACATATGCCTTGGGCCCCCAACTATGATGTGTCTGTGGCTGTCACCTGTTATATTTCTTCATAGAATAAATTTTTTAAATTTCAAAAAAAAAAAATATGAAGCTGGGGCCGGCCAAGTGGCTCAGTTGGTTAAGAGCTCACTCAAGAGCGCGAGCTGTGAGCAACAGCGGTTCTATTCCTGGCCCGAGCTGAGTTTCTGCTGAACTGCCAACAGGTGGCAGGATGGCTCAGCTAAAAAACAAAAAAACTATGAAACTATTGAAGGTCACAAAAGAAAGCTTAAAAATAGAGAAACAAACCACATTCATGTTGGGGAGCCCCAATATTTTTCAGTCTTTCCTAGTGATCTAGAAAAGTGATACAAATCCAAACAGTACCCCGATGGGGTTTTTATGGGAGGAGGAGGAATGGGTTTTGATGAAATTATCCTGAAGTATTATCTCGAAAAAAAATACATGAAAATAGACAATAAAATATTGAAAAGCAAAAGGTTATGGAGGCATTTGCTCTACCAGATATAAAACCATGTTTTAAAGCTCTGGTAATTAATGGTATTGATAAGGAACAGACCCATCAATGGAACAGAATTAAAAGCCCCCAGCAGACCCAAAAGTATATAAAGCAACTGGACAAAGGTGGCCTTAAAAATGTGGCTAAATACACATAACATAAAATTTACCATTTTAACCATTTTTAAGTGTATGATTCAGTGGTTTTATGTACATTTACAGTGTTGGTAATTGTCACCACTATCTACTTCCAGAACTTTTTCATCATCCCAAACAGAAACTCGGTCTCCATTAAATGCTAACTCCCCATTCCCCAGTTCCCCCAGACCCTGGTAATATCTAACCCACCTTCTGTCTCCATAAATTTGCCTATTCTAAATAACACACACACACACACACACACACAATCCTTTTGTGCCTGACATTATGCTAAGCATGTTTCAAGGGTTCACCCATGTTGTATCATGTATCCTTCCTTGGATGTCTGAATAATGCTCCATTGTATGGATGGACCACCTTTTGTTTACCATTTATCCATCGATGGACACATGGGTTGCTTCCACCTTTTGGCTGTTGTGAATAACGCTGCTGTGAACACATGTACAAGTATCTGTTTGAGTCTCTGCTTTCAGTTCTTTCGGGTATCTATCTAGAAGTAGAATGGCTGGGTCAGATGGTAACTCTTACGTTTAGCTTTTTGAAGAACCACCAAACTGTTTTTCTCAGTGACTGCACCATTTTACATCCCCGCCAGCAATGTGAGAGGGTTCCAGTTTCTCTACATCCTTGCCAATACTTGTTATTTGACGGGGATTTTTTTGTTTTGTTTTTTGTTTTTTAATTCCAGTCACCTAGTGGGTGTGAAGTGGTGTCTCATTGTGGTTTTGATTTACATCTCCCTAATGATTAGTGATGCTGAGAATCTTTTCATGTGCTCCTTGGCCATTTGTATAGCTTTAGAGAAATGACTATTCAAGTCCTTTGCCCGGTTTTGAATTGAGTTGTTTATTTTTTTCTTGTTGAGTTCCTTATCTGATATGTGATACTTTTTCCTATTCTGTGGGTTGTCTTTTCTCTGTCTGTTTCCCTCCCTTCCTCCCTCTCTCTCTCTCTCTCTCTCTCTCTCTCTCTCTCTCTCTTTCTCTCTCTGATAATATAAACACAGCTTATTTGAGGAAAAGATTTTAAAAGCTGAAATGAAGATGATGTGTTTCTACTTACACTCACATTCTATGTCCTTTTCAGTGGGATTCAGTGGGCCCTCTTCCATCATACTCTTGACAACCATGGTGACAGTGTATCATCTGACAAACCTCATCTTGACTCAGCGTGTTGGGCTGGTCTTCTTGACTTCAGTTCAAGTTACATAGGGAGCTCAGTGTCACCAGTCTTTTGTAGGGTGTCCGTTGTGGAGATTGTCCATTAGGTTGCTCTGGAAGCTTAACTTCTCTTCCTGGGGCCAGGCGGTGGTGGCGGGTTCTCGGTGCCCATGGTTCAGCCGGCCTCAGGCGGCTACCTTTTCACTCTCTTAATAGTGTCTTTTGATGCACCAAAGTTTTTAATTTTGATTTAAATCCAATTTATCTATTTGTTGTTGTTGTTGCCTGTACTTTTGGTGTCATTTTCAGGAAATCATTGCCAAGTCCAATCTCATAAAGCTTTCTCCTTATGTTGTCGTCTAAGCGTTTCATATTTTCAGGTCTTACATTTAGGTCTTTGATCCATTCATTTTGAGTTAATTTTTATATATGGTGTGAGATAAGAGTCCAATGTCACTCTTTTGCATGTGGATTTCCAGTTTACCCAGGGCCATTAGTTGAAGAGACAAAGATGGCCTTACAACTCAGAAGGGAGAGGCAGGATTATTTGACAAAGGGACCAGCCTCTACACCCAGCCTTCTCTCCGTGGCTTTCCCTCCCCTCCCCACATTGTCTCTTGCAGGTTCACAAGTTTTTAAACAGAAACCGGGATGACCTCGACCCTGCCGTGGTGGAAATGCTTGCCCAAAGCCAGCTCCAGGTCCCCCTGCCGGCCCTGGGTCCCCACCCCTCCACACTCTGTCTCCCCATTCTGCCCTTTTTTGCCTGGACACTGTTGCTCAAAGGGCGCACCCTCCAGCCCCCAGCACCTTGATCATGGGCTGGCCCACTCTGGCTCCCTGGGGGTGGGTGGCAGGCTGGGCTATGGACAGGCCGGGTAGGTGAGCTGGCTCGGCCCCCCCCTCTCCCCACAGCTGGTGGGCAGCCTGTTCCAGGAAGCAGAGCCCCAGGCCGGGAGCAGGCAAGGCAAACCCACACTGGCCTCTCACTTCCAGCAGTCCCTAGGGGACCTCATAGCCAGGCTGGGCAGGTGAGAGCAATGCCCCCCACACCCAACGGCAGGTAGTTGGATGGGGGGGGGGCTGATCTGTACCCAAGTGACCCCCGCTTCCACCCATCAGGAGCCATGTCTACTTCATCCAGTGCCTCAACCCCAACCCCGGGAAGGTGAGCTGCCCCAGCCCCTGGCCCCAGAGCCCTCCCACGCCTGCCCTGCCCTTCTCAGCCCTCCTCCTCCCTGCTTGTGCCCTGTCCTGCATTCCCTACAGCTTTAAGGCCCTTGACTCCAGCTGTCATTGCTCTGTCCCAGTTTCCAGGCCTCTTTGATGTGGGACACGTGGCAGAGCAGCTGCGCCAGGCAGGCATCCTGGAGGCCATATGTACCCGCAGCGCCAACTTCCCAGTGCGGGTGCCCTTCCAGGCCTTCCTGGCCAGGTAGGGCTCCAGGATGGGGCAGCCAAGGGCTCACGCACCTCAGGGACAGAGCTCAGGAGGAAGACCCCCTGCAGTGACTGGTAGACCCGGGCGTCCTTCAGGGTGGAGGTGGACCCACTTTACCAGGGGCCCTGGGCCTGGCATCCCACCCTTCCTCTTCATCCTCTCTCTCTCCCTCCTTCTCTATCTCTCCATTCACTGCCCCTCCTCCACTCAGCAAAACTCCTCTGGGTGCCTAGCACATAGTAGGTGCTTTCCAAATCATTGTTGAGTGACTTAGAAACTGAATAGACACCTATGGACCTGGGGCGTCAAATATGGAGGGAGGTTTACACTGTGCTTGTTCCAACTTTGAATCTGTCCTTGGGGCAGGTTCCGGACCCTGGGGACCGAGGTGCAGGGAGAGCTCTCCGACCGGGACAAGTGTGGCACCATCCTGAGCCAGGTGCTGGGGGCTGAGTCGCCCCTCTATCACCTTGGAGCCACCCAGGTTGGTGTGTGTGCAGAGTGACAGCCGTGATGGGAGAGCAGCATTCTGGGACAAGCTTAGGATTTGGTGGTCATTCTGGGTGGTGGGTCGATGGAGTGTGGCAGGTGTCCCAGGCACCCCAGAAGAATAGATTGTTTGACTGGAAGGGAGGGGGCTGAGGCTTTAGGAGAAAAACAGGGTGCGCTCTGGCCCCCTGGCACCCACACCTGGCCTGCCTCTGGCCTGCGCCTCTGCCCCCAGATCCTGCTGCAGGAGCCTGGCTGGCAGCAGCTGGAGCAGCACTGGGCCCAGCGTCATTCCCAGGCGCTGCTCATCCTGCACCGCGGCCTCCTCGCCTGCATCTCCCGCCAGCGCCTCCGCCTCCTGCCACGGATGCAAGCTCGGGTGCGGGGGCTCCAGGCCAGGTCTGCAGGGGTGGGGTGAAGCCATGGGCCTCCTCAGGTGGTGGGGCAGGGTCGGGGAGACATAAGGTCTCAAGACAAGTCTGCCTGCCCCGGTGCCATCCCATCAGCACTGGACTCTCCTTGACAGCCTCCTGGCCATACCCATGCAGTCTGCTTGAATACCCTTCGTGACAGGAAACTCGTTATCTGTTGAGGCCACCCAAACCTGTGGTCTTGACTCCTTGAGTGTTCTCTTTTCTAGCCTAGTCTCTTCATCATTCTGCAGCAGGAATGATCTTTTAAAAGCGTGAGTCAGGTTGTGCGAGTCCCTGCCTTGGATTTTGGCCAGACTTTTAGACTCCAGGCTCTTTGGACTTCTGGGTCCTATAACACTTCCCTCCCTGTTCTCACCTAGTTAACTCCCAGTCACCCTTCCCAGCCTGTCTTAGTTCATTCATCCAACAGCTGTCGGCTGGCCTTCTCTATTTACCATGGGCCAGACTGTGGACATAGGGATGAAGGCAAAGATGGTGCCTCCCAGGCTAGCTGGGGTATCAGATGCAGATAGTAAACCAGCCTGCTGTCACCTAAAGCTCTGAGAACAAGTGAGGGCTGTGCCCTGGACACCAGGGAAGGCTTCAGAGAGGGGGCACCCATCACCACTACCTAGTTCCAAAATGTTTTTGTCTCCACAAGAAACTCTGTCCCCATTAAGCAATAATTCCCCCTCTCCCTTCCCTCCAGCCAGCCCCTGATAACATCCAATCTCCTTTCTGTCTCTATGAATTTGCCTACTCTAGATACTTCGAGCAAGTCAACTCATTTGGTATTTTCTTTTATGTCTGGTTTATTGTACTGAGTAGAATGTTTTCAGGGTTCATCCACGTTGTAGCATGGATCAGAAATGCCTTTCTTTTTTTTTTTTAAGGAGTTTATTGGGGAACAGTGTGTTTTTCCAGAACCATCAGCTCCAAGTCAAGTAGTTGTCTTCAATCCAGTTGTGGAGGGCGCAGCCCTGTGGCCCATGTGGGGATCAAACCGGCAACCTTGGTGTTATGAGCTCTGTGCTCTAACCACCTGAGCTAACCGACCACCCCAGAAATTCCTTCCTTTTTAAAGGCTGAGTAATGTTCTATTGTATGGACAGGCCACATTTTGTTTGTCCATGCATCCATCAGGCACATTTAGGTTGTTTCCACCTTTTGGCTATTGTGAATAATGCCACTATGAACATGCATGTGCAAGTAGCTGTTTGAGTCTCTGCTTCCAATTCTTTGGGGTCTATATGAGGAGTGGAACTGCTGGGTCATATGGCGATTCTATGTCTAGCTTTTTGAGGAACCGCCAGACTGTTTTCCGCAGTGGCTGCACCAGCAGTATATGAGGGTTTCATTTTCTCTACATCTTTGCCAACACGTACTTTCCACTTTTTAAATTCCAGCCATCCCAGTGGGTCTGAAGTGGTGTCTCACTGTGGTTTTTTTTGTTTTGTTTTTTTGTTTGTTTGTTTTTTATTTATTTTTTTTCTTGGGGAATTGGGGGGTTGGGAACAGTGCTGGGGAATTGGGGGAAGGGGAACAGACAAGTTGCTGTCGTTTTGTTCTTCAGTCTAGTTGTGGAG